ATAAGTGTGTACTAGTTTTTTTTTAAGAATAAGATTTCATTCATAAACCAAAAATGCATACAAAGACAGACACGAGTACATTGGCCTCGTTAAAACTTTCTTAGAAAACCACATGGAACAAACCCAAAGGTAAGAAAGAGTATCATACATGTCATGGACTAACAAGAGATTCTGACACATGCCACTTTGGTCGTTATAGAGAACCCGAAATAAACAAACAAAACAAAGCACAACTCCAGGCCCCGCAAAAAACAACCCACCACAACATAATATTGTTAAAGAAAAATTCATATGCACGCATAGTTCTATATACATAACAACGTATCGTGAGCGTCAGAACATATCCAACATAAGTACCAGATACCAACTCCTTGATTCTTAATCTAAAACCCTACATGACAGGGTAATGGGGTCAAGATTGGCTTCTTAGCCTGATGAACTTCCAATAGAAGATCATAATGGGAACATTTATTAGATGTCAAGCCCACAAACGTTCCAACAAACACATCAGGGAGAATTAGGAGACGTCTTGAGGTTGGCCTACATCACCTTATCATAAAACTTGTCTATGCATAAAAATATCTAAAAACAGTAAGGGTTGGATCATCAACCACATCCCAAAGCCCCATCACAAAGAAACATGGCAAGAAAGGAACAGAGATTGCAACCAACAGCCTTAGTTGCCTAAAACTGTGTCCAATACCGAAGATCCTAGAACGCACAAAAGCCATACAGTCCAAGAAACAACCTAGACGTCAATCACATGTGAACCTCCAGCATGCACCACCAACACCTCGCGATGCCTCCCATGTCGCAACCCTCACCACCAAACCACTAGAGAACGAGAGGCCTGACCAAGAAGGTCGATGAACACCAATAAATTTTGGGGTTCTTTAAAATTTTTTTGGGATACTTTAAAAAGTGCTTTTACTGTGTCAATCAAACACTCAACAAAATATCAAAAGCGCTTTTATGTAGTGTAAAATCACTTTTAAATGTGACATCTAAACGACAAAACTACTTCTTTGTAGAAGTGCTTATGTCATAAACGCTTCGAAAAGAAACACTCTCAAACGAGCCCTAATATGAGATTGCTTAATTCCATATTTGGAAAGTAATCAAAGAGAACATGAATTTGGACCTTCCTAATCACAAGGTTTGTGAACCCAATTGATGAAACATTAGTAGTTTAAAAAATTATTGGACGGAATCAAGATGTGAAAAATAAGTTTTTTATTCATAAGATCTTCGCCATGAAGGAGAGAAGGAAGTGACTGATATAATTTCCCTGAACCACAGTCTAGTCCAACAGTTGACACTCAATCTATAAGTGGCACAAAACTTCAAATATATGCTAGTCAATATGTTCAGTCTTTTCGAGTTTTTGCACCAACATGGAATGTAAAAGGGAAATCTTCTTGTACTAGTCTAAATATTGACGATTTTCTTCATGTTAACAATGAATCAAACATATATATTGGGTTTTGAAGAAATTATCTATTTAAATGTTGAAAATGTGCTAGTTCTACAAGATAATGAACCTGCAAAAAAATGGCTTCTTTACTCAATCAATCAATCCCTGGACAAATCACCAGATAAGTCTTCAAGAAAGCAAAGCTAATGGTTCACTATTTTCCTCGAAGCTTACCCTTAAAATGTTTAGTAAGACTTTAAGAACAAAGAGCAAAATGAGGTTGAAGAGTTGCAACTGCAATTTTGAACCAGATGAAGATAGATCAAATGTTTTTTATACATCGAAAATTGTAATGGCATATACTAGCAACCATTTAAAGTACACCCTTATAGCTGGTAAGTAAATGGTGGTAATTCTTGTTACCATTTGAGCAAGGAAGTAGTATATACAATTTGTTAGCCACTTAAGAATCTCTTGCATAAGTTGTGGGATTATGGAATGCATTGGAAACAAGGGTTGTATTTCTGTAAGTTTTTATTCCATCGGATAAACTTTTGTTTTGTATGCAATCACTGGCATCTGGTTAGAAAGAGGGTGACGAGCTCAGGAGAAATTTGGTTGTGTTAAAGATATTTAAAAATACTCAATTTTCTAATATTTGCAAAACAACTCATCACATGATGCGAAATAAAATTATAGGACATGATATGGTCATATGGTTAGGGGACTTCAATTATAGCATTGCTTTGAGCTACTCCAAAACCAGAAAGTTTTTGGAAAATAATGATTGGGATGCACTTCTTAACAAACACCAGCTCAATATCTATTTTGCACTTACATACAAATATTTTTATAACTCAAACACATACTTTTGAGAGATAAAAACATCCAAACAGAATAGAAGAACCCCAACTTGGTGTGATAGAATATCATGGCATAGAAATGAGATTAACATAACACAATAAGATTGCAATCTTCTCACATCTGATCATCAGTTAACAAAAGAAAAAAATAGTTTGTACATATTCTTGTATTGCGAGACAGTTGCAATTCTTTCATTCATATTGTATCCAACCTTGTATATACTACAGGGTATGTAATTAAATTGGCATATCCGTGCTCACAAAACATAACAAGGTAGGCCCGGTTCAAACCCGATTAATCAATATGTCTATAGGAACTTTGCCTCACAACTGGACGATGATTAAGTAGTTTAGGTTTAAATTCATTAGTTTGTTAAACTAGTTAAAGGAAGAAAAATAACGAAATATCTAAATTTTTTATGATATTGACAATAAAATCATAATATGATATTTATTGGATGCAGGATCAATGTTTCACATTTAATGAGTAATGACATGATATAACAATGAGTAATTGGACGATGATGATTAAAGAGTTTATTTGTAATTAATGGGTATGTTAAATCAATAAATGAAGAAATATGACAAAAAACATCTAGGGTTTCACATATGATGCTCAAGGTTTAATTCTTCAAAAGTCATGTAATTCTACACCATGAATCAACCATTAATGGGCCTTTAGATGACCATAGTTGGCCTAGTTTGAACCTCACTCGCATGTAGAACAAAACCTATCATCAATTGTGCCACACCTTTAAACAAAAACCTAACTTCATTACACATCACATTCTCCTTCTTATTCTTCTTATGATGTTATCACACCTTTATCATAATTTATTCACTCTGACTTTGAGAGGCACTTGCATTGGTTTGAGTTTTTGGTTAAAATATAAATCCAAAATGGAAAAATGAGTTACCATCACGCTTCGGATGAGAACGACCATTGACAGATGTTACATTTAAGTGAAACCGTTTGGCTGGAATAAGTTTTTAATCTAACGTGCCACCATTGTATTACGTTGGTGCACAATGTATGAATTAAGCAAAATCAGATCAACTCTCCAAGACCTTGAGCCTTGGGATATAAGAGTGGCTACACCCCAAAAGCATATTAGGGCACCTAACTTATTTTGGCAATTAAGTCATAAATTTAAAATTAAAACACTCCTAACAATATTTGGCAAGTTACCAAACTTGCTTATTCAAAATTATAGTATATATCACTATCAATTTATTTATTATTATTAGTTGATAATTTTTGACAATAAAATCATATGATGAAAATCATTGGATGTAGGATCAAAATTTTGCATTCAATGATTAACCAAATACTATAACGATAAGTAACCGGATGATGATTAAGTGGTTTAGTTTTAAATTAACTAGTATGTTAAATCAGTTACAAGAAGAGAAAGAACAAGATATCTTAATTCTATGATATTGACAACAAAATTCTTGGATGTAAGATCAAGGTTTCACATTCTATGATTAATCGAATAACATAACAATAAGTAATCGATTGATGAATTAATTAAAGGAAGAAATAGAACAAAATACCATAGTCAAAAGCTAAGTGAGGCTGTTACAGATATGGCTAACCAATCATATGATATTGACAATAAAAACATTGAATGATAACTATTGGATGTAGAATCAGGGTTTCACATCCGATGATTAAATCAAATGATATAACAATAACTAATCAGATAATGATTAAGGAGTTGAGTAATAAATATTTAGTATGTTAAACTAGTTAAAAGAAGTAGACAAAACTATCAATGTCTAGAGCTGGGTGAGGCTACTACATATAAGATGATTTGTACTTAAGCAAAGCTCGTGAGTTGTACTCAAGCTCGACTTGATTCATTTGTATACCGAACTTTTGAGTATATGGTTGGATCAACTCAATTTGTTTATGAATAAATGGGAGTTTAAAATTGGATATATTAAATGATACTTGAAAAATGACACATAATAACATAATATGTCTTAGAGCAATGTACATTTTTCAAAAGATATATTGGTCTTCAATTAGAAGAAGGAAAAAATCAATGAATTTTTTAAAAAACTAAGATTTAACCAAATGAATGATTCCAACTTGAACTAAACTTGAGCTATCTCAATAAATGATACGAGTTTCATATGAGCTTTACAATCAAAGATGAAATTCGACTAATTTATTCAATGAGGCTAATATTTTATTTGAACTCAACATTCATTTTACAAACCTAACTTGAACAAGTAAAAAATGAAAACATGAGAACACCTTGAATTGTATCGAGTCAATTTTGCAACCCAATGAATAGTAAGGGCTCGTTTGTGAGTGATTCTAGATACGTGAGAATCAATTTTGCAACCTCATGTGCTTCTTCATAAAAGTGATTATTGACTTATTCAAAATCACTTCAAAACGAGCCCTAAAACTTTTTATGGTTATCGGGTTGGAAGGTTTGGAATCACATGAGGCCTTCCGTAATCAACACATGTCAAGTGGGCCGGTGGCTTCATCATTAATGGGCCTTTAGAAACTGAGATTGGCCTATAACATAATACACACAGGCCGGTCCGAACCCGGTTCAGATTTACAAGAAGACCTATGCTATGCGGCGCTTAAACCCTCGAACAAAACCTAACCTCATTACCTCCATCGCTTCTCTTTCTCCTTCTGATGCTCACACGTCCATCACACTCCTTGTAGGGCTTTCCAACGTTGGCCTCAGACCATGTTTGAAGCTTATAGGACCAGCTCAATCGATTGGAAGCCATCTCCAGTAGTAGCCCTAGCCACCAGCGTCGACGACTCTCAAGTCGCCGCAGCTCGTGAAGACGGCTCGCTCGAGATTTGGCTAGTCTCTCCCGGCGCCGTCGGCTGGCACTGTCAGCTGGTACAATACCTACTACGAGTTTTTTTGTTCTTCTGTAAATATTGTTTTTGAATTGATTATCAATCAATTATTAGTTATTAGCTTGGCTGAACTTGAAGGTTGATAGGTTTGAAATATCAATGTTTGATTTGTTTTGTGCTTAGACGATTCATGGTGACCCTGAATCGAGAGCCTCGTCGCTTATTTGGTGTCGTGCTGGCTCAAATGGCTTGCCTTGTGGTCGGTTATTCTCGTCGAGCATCAACGGTTCGGTTTCACAGTGGGATCTTTTCCATTTGAAGCAGAAGGTAAGCTTTTATGTTTGTTATGAAGCTAGTATGAACGTTTGCATTGTTTAGCTTCTAAGCCGTACCTTATGCAATAATCGATGAACATTTACAATTATTCATAACTTTAACAAACGTTTATGATGCTTTTTCCATTGTATTAATTTTGGTTTTCATTTGCAGACTGTGTTAGATTCTATTGGGGTCTCAATCTGGCAAATGGCTGTTGCACCGTGTAGTAATGATACCAAATCTAATGATACCAAATCTAATTCCCACCCTGTTGGAAATGGCTTTATAAAAGCTAATAGTACCGACCCGGATGATCCTGAAACCAGTGATAGCGAAGATGATTCCGACTCAGATGAAACTAATGAGCAATCAGTTGTTGAGTACCCGTGTGTGGCATTAGCTTGTGATGATGGTTGTGTGCGAATTTACAGTATTACTGACACTGATGAGTTTGTTTACACTAAATCGTTGCCTAGGGTCGGTGGTGAGAATCTACTCCTCTTGGTTGTTTTAGCTTGTGGAATTTTTTGCTTTTGTGCTCCGATTCTTTCTTTCGTTTGTAAGTTTTTATTTAGAGCTTTTTATCATGTATTTTTCAGGACGTGTTTTGAGTGTGGCATGGAGTCCTGATGCTAAATTTATATATTCAGGGAGTAGTGATGGGTATGTATGAACTGACCATACTTGTTGTGAACCTCAATAAATCCTCAATAAATCATAATGTTTTATACTATTGTCCTTTCTATCATGCATATGATGATTTTCATTTTTTCCCCTTGTGCAGGATTATAAGATGCTGGGATGCTAAATTGGGCCATGAAATCTACAGGATTACCGTTGGACTTGGAGGTCTGGGTAGTGGACCTGAACTGTGCGTGTGGTCTTTACTTTCCCTTAGGTAAAAAAGAGCTGGGTCTTTATAATTTTCTGCGGCTATTAATTTTTCAGTTCTTTCTCTGCATCCATTGGTGTTTAGCTGCTGAACTGCCCTTCTGAAATCAAGTTCTTTGTTTTCACCAGGTGTGGGAACCTTGTAAGTGCAGACAGTACTGGAAGTGTTCAGTTTTGGGATAGTCAGCATGGTACTCTATTGCAGGTGCATTCTTACCACAAAGGTGATGTGAATGCTCTGGCAGCCGCTCCCAGCCACAATAGGGTGTTTTCTGCTGGTTCTGATGGTCAGGTACAGGATATTGTTTGATGACAAATATCGTTGGTAGTTCTGGGTCTTCATTCAGCTATTTGTTATAGGAAATTCAAATTTGGTATATATCTCTAGGATGTGAGGGAATTTTGAATCAATTCAGTTGTAGGTAACAGGCTAACATTTTAGCATAGCAATAAGTTAATAACCAATACAGGACATAATGAGCCTGAAATTTTTGTTTTGTTTTGCGTTCATCTCTTTTTATTATATAGTGTGGTATTTAAACCATGCATCTTATGTTGCGTATAATGCCAGTAGACCCTTTGATGCTCTAATTGGATATTGTTCATTCATTTCTGATTCTAATGAGTTGAGATTCTGTGATGTTAGAAACTTATGATTAGTAACAATAACCCAGTTTCTTAATTTTCTTTAACACTTGAACTAATTGAATGAAAATGGATGGAAATTGGAAGACTTCAAAATCACTTATGATAGAATAGTTATTGGTGTCAAGATTGAGGTTTTTAGCATAGTAATGCTATTTAAATATCATATCATAAAGTTTTTATATATTCATGTTCGTATTCCTTTATGACTGAGAAACACTGTTTTTGAATGGTTGTTTTCAAGTTGCTAATTTTACCAAGGAATATGTGCTTGTCCAACTTGATGGACCAGCTACTATAACATCAGCACCGCACTATTTTCTTGGGCAGGTTATTCTTTATAAGCTTTCTAGTGAGACAGCGGGATCTAGTGATGACAAGTCTTCTTCTAATGTGATGAAGAAATGGATCTATGTTGGTCTTGTAAAAGCTCATACACATGATATTAGGGCGTTGACTGTGGCTGTACCAATCAGCAGAGAAGGTTTGCCCATACCTTATGCGTTTATTTCATACTCTGCTTTGTTGTTACTATTATTTTTATGTTCTTTTCACAAAAAATTGAGGTTTATTTTCATCAATTAATTGATATACTTTGATTTATGTCCATTGTTATGTCTTAACTGTTTCAGTTCTTAAATTGAACTGTTATGTAACTTGCAGATCCCTTGCCAGATGAAGGCATAAAAAGAGCCCGTCGAGACCGCCATAGGGAAAAGCCTGCTGAGTTTAGTTATCATAAATGGGCACATTTGGGTGTTCCCATGCTTATCTCTGCTGGTGATGATACAAAGCTGATCGCCTACCCAGTTAAGGAGTTCACACAGTTCTCTCCTCATGATATCTGCCCAGCACCTCAGAGAGTATCAATTCAACTGGCGCTTAATACATCATTCAATCAAACATCGTTGCTTCTTGTTCAAGCTTCTAGTTGGATAGATATCATGTGTGTACGTACAAAAAGTGGTGCCTTTTCTGATATGGCTCGTGGCCCTTCAGTGGGCCTAGCCTCAACGGATCTTCTGGCTAGAGTCAAGTGTAAGGCATCTCGGAAGATCATTTGCAGCACAATTTCTAATACGGGGGTGCTTTTTGCTTATTCTGACCATGTGAAACCTAGCCTATTTGAATTGAGGAAGTGTAAAGTTGGCAAAAGTGCATTGACTGTTAATAAAAGATCACTTCCTCAGAAACTACCGTTTGCCCATTCCATGGTTTTTAGTTTTGATTCTTCTCGCTTGATCATAGCAGGACATGATAGAAGAATATATGTAAGCTATCCCTTTTTGTTGTTCTGTTTAATCTATTGTTTCATTATTTTAGTTCATCCCCCTTACATTTTATGATGCTCCTTCATTGAAGAAAAACTTTTTGGGGGTTTTGATTATAACGTGCTCAGTTTCTTGGTGACTAGCGAGAATTTCAGAAGGTGCCACATCCATTGCTTCTGCCCTGGATTTGGCAATAACCTTGTAGATAAACTTACTTCCTCACTAGACTGATAGGTTGCTCGTTTTGAGGTTTAGAGCTTGATTAAGTTTGAACTCATGGATTTATCTGTAATTGCCAAGGCCTATTTGCTTTTTTTTTTGGTTCCTTTTCATAGAAGTATGGGGAACATTTTTGCAACTTTGCGTTTGGGTGTCAGTTGACAACTATAATTAATTGGTGTTTGCAACATGTTGTGGATATTTGCATGGATTTCTTAAGTTTTAATTCTTGCTTTCAGTTTTATATACTCAATATTGAAATTGTATATGTACATTAATTCACTTCTGAAAAAAGAATTCTGATTTTTAGGCAGTGCTTAATCTTTGAGCCTTTGAAGCAAAATTATCAGCATCCACTTAACTCTTAGGTGAGGCTATTAGCAATTCCAAAGAGCTTGATCATTCAGACTCTTGAGACATGATCTGCCATTAAAAATTAGCAAAAATATTGATTGGGCACATTCTTTGTAGTAAAAACCTGTGTTCATCACCTAAATGTTCTGGCTTCTGTTGCTTGACTTATTTTAAATGCTGCAGGTAGTGGATGTGAGCCGAGCAGAACTAGTACACAGGTTTACCCCTTGCCGTGAGTTGCATGATCAAGAATTACCACCTAGTGAGCCTCCCATAACAAAAATGTTTACCAGTTCTGATGGGCAGTGGTTGGCTGCCATCAACTGCTTTGGAGATATTTATGTATTCAATCTGGAGATACAGAGGTATGAAACTATACTTCAATCCTTTTTCCTCGCCGGCCTGTCATTAATTATGCATTCTTTCTCGTTATTTATAAATATTTTACTGAGACTTGGGGCCAATTTTCTATTCTAACTCTTTTTTTATTCTTGTAAAACAGGCAGCACTGGTTCATTTCAAGACTAGATAGTGCCTCTGTGACAGCTGGTGGATTTTCTCCACAAAACAACAATGTGCTTGTAATCACAACCTCCTCAAATCAGGTATATGCATTGGATGTTGAGGAAAGGACACTGGGAGACTGGTCGAAGCAGCATACGAATGTTCTGCCGAAGAGATTCCAAGAATTTCCAGGCGAAGTTATTGGGATGTCTTTCCCACCCTCCACAAGTTCATCTTCTGTTATTGTTTACAGTTCCAGGTGCGCTCCTTTTTCCTTCCTTGTGTGGATGAGGTGTGATTTGTGTGGATTTATATTAAAGAGCTTAGAACCTTGGAAGTTACTAATATGAACAAATCAAATGAGAATCCCTTGCTTTGAATCCTAGTCCAGCTTAGGCATTAGACTTACATCCCGAGGGTATTATGAACAAACTGCATTTTCCATTCCTGCAATTCAATCCTGGAGTTACATGTAGGAATAGTATGTCATCTCACTATTGATATGAAGGCTGAGCCATATATGCCCGCAAGGGCATGGCATTGGGGTGCCATACCATTCCATGACCAAATCAAATTTTTAACTGTGTTATGACTTGTGGCTGAGTCTTGTGTGCCCCTTGAGTTTTGCAATCTGCTTAGGAAGTTCTGCAGCGTAGAGTCTTTTTTGGGGATATCAGTTTATATGATATATCTAATTTCAGGGTTTTCTTATGCTTTAGGGCAATGTGCTGGATTGACTTTGGGATGCCCATTGATCGAGACGATGAAAGTGACATGCCAAACGGACTGCAAAGTAATTCCATTAATGGGAAGAGACTAAAACGTAAATTGACAGACAGTCAAGCTAAGAGTAAACTTATTGCTAGGAAGAATTTTGAATTTTATGCTTTCACAAATCCAGCTTTATTTGTGGGACATCTTTCCAAAAGTTCTATTTTGATGATAGACAAACCCTGGATGGAAGTGGTTAAATCTTTCAACACTGCGCCTGTACACAGACATGTTTTCGGGACATAATAATATGTCATAGAGGGTTTGGCCTTTTTGGGGAGATCAAACGTGGGGGGGCTAAAGCATGTTGTGTAACTGTATTCTTCGAAATTTTCCTGTTGACCAGTTAAAAGTAGTTTTTGTCTTCCAATTCTTTTAGATTTCTGTATTTCATGTGTACGCCTTCTTATAGCAATATGATTTTTGATCTTTTGGATTTATGACAATCTATACACACTCCAAAGCTGTATATGAATCCATTCTGGGAGTGAGACGATGTGCTGTGTTCCAACCGAATCAAATTTGAAGAATGTGGAAGCTGACTTTTCAAGAAGAATACAGTGTTCATTCCACAATTTTATGGTACTCTAATCATAAATAAAACAGGGCTTTTATTAGTGGTTGACATTATATCTATCAATATTTTGTTTATATAAAAAATGTCAACTCTTGTTCTTTATGTCATAAGGGGCAAATAGTTCAACTGATGTCGGCCAAAGTCTCCACTGCATGCAGACTGCACAGAATTAAAAAAAAATATATATATATATATAAAAAAACCACAATTTCATGAAGTAAAATTCGAGCTCAAAGGAATTCTAATGGTGCCAACGCGCTACCTTGAGTGAAAATAGCAATTTAAGAAGATCCAAGTTCAGTCTCAGATTTTCATATTGGTTCTGTAACCTGTTTGCCAAGCATTAATTAGAGATAATTGATGTATCTTGCAGTTTTGGGAATCTTCTATTAACTGTACTTGACAATTTTATCATATGAAACAAGCAGTACAAGAAATGAAGATCCATCATCCACCAGACAGGGAGCTAGATGGTCTCGTCCTTTTTTTTTCTTTTTTTTCAATAAATAAAAATATCTAAGTCTCTTTCCAAGATATGGAGTGCTAAATTTGAGGACAGCTACCCTTTCAATAAAAATAATTAAAGATGGAAATCCCCAAAACAAATTGAATAATTGCACCAATATAATTTATGGATCATATGCTTGGTGGGTAGCTATCAAGGGTGGTGGGGTGCCTCTTTTGGTTGAAAATGAAGCTTACCTTTTGGTTCCTTTCATCACAGAAATTGTCTTTTTAATAACCCTAAACCCGAAAGTACCCATCTAAAGTTGTTGCAAGCTAGGCTGGCAGGCTGAACAAGAAGAAGAAGAAGAAGAAGAGGAAGAATAAAGTTGGGTCATTTATTGCTCTTTGGCTTTGGCTTTGGCTTTGGCTTTGGCCTAGGAATGCTTAATCATGGTGGGTGGGTGGGTTCAAATGGCTATCTGGTTATAGATGGAAAATGCTTCATCACTCTGCTCTTGAGAGGACCACAGATTCTTTCCATAATAAGCTTTACTCTTTTTCCTTCAGCCCTCTTTACCTAAGCTCTGTGATCCTCCTGGTTGTCAAACGTTTCCATTTATATGTAACATTGTATCATAATTTTATTTTATTTTTATAAAAAAAAAGAAGCAAAATACTCTACAGGTCACTGGTTTTCTGAATTTTATGTTTTTTAAAGTTTTTTTTTTGGCATTATTTCGTTATTTTATTCTAGGCATGTAGGAATGTAAAGAAGACATTATTACGTGACTGTTGTTGAAAGACAATTTGACAAGAAGAAAACCGGAGGCTGAAAATTTATGAATATTTTATGTGCCTCAGGTTGTTTCCCACTGCGTTGACAAGAAGAAATAAAATGGATTTGATTGGAAAGAAATACAGTATAAAAAAAGAAGAAGGTAAGTAACAAGATCTTTAGAGATCTAATTGCCTTTATCTTTTACATTGTTCCTCCAATCTCTTTCTAGTTTCTTCCCAACTGTAGCAGCAGATGGAAATCGTTGGATGCTATCATCTGCACATATATATCACTCCCAGCTTCCTTCTCGGAAATCACCTGTGACAAAACAAAACAGGACATAAAGTTAGGTACTTTCTATTTGGTCAGTAAAATTAGGTACCTGGAACAGTCAAACTCTTGTTTCCTTCTGGGAGTTTGAGTCAAAATGGAACTCATTTATTCAAACAAAGGATTCACCTGGTTTTTGTGAAGCTGGACTTTTGGCTAGAGATGACTTCAAGAAACCAAAATGCTGCAGCAATGCAGATTTCCCCTGTAAGAAATGAAAATTGGCACCACATTCATGAGAGGACAGTATAATATAACAGAGAATTAGGGGGAAAAAGAAAACAGAGAATTAGGGGGAAAAAAAGAACCTTCGTATGTGTTGCAGAGAAACCCTCAGAGTAACCCAATACATTCTGCATTGAAGATTCATCCTTGGAGAGAGTGCGCAACTTTTTCTGTAAAAATAAGAACCCATTTATGTAAATATACAAATATGAGTATTAATGCATATAACTATATGTATCAGTGCATGTTTCTATGAATTTGCCTTAGAGTAGTTGAGGACTGGGGAGCTAGCAGTGTCATCAAGATGCTGTTCTCTGCCACTTTCTTTGCCTTTCTTCTTGCCCTTCTTTCCCAATTTGGAACCCCACGAAACAGAAAAAGAGCATCCATTTTCATACAAGCAGTCTTCATCTAAATCATGGTAATGGGGAGGTCCAGAAGAAGCATCAGAAATCATTGACAGGTCCTCTTCTTCTTCCTCCTCCACTTCTGTTTTTGCTCCCTCATAATCAGCAATGGCCCCAGCTCTCTGGAACTGACTTTGAGAGAAATAGGACTGATCTAGGTAATGTGTCCACCCAGATTCACAACCACTATTGCATTGTGATGGTGATATATTCATCTCCACCCTCCTTGACCAATCAAACTACAACAGTGATGAAAGAGAGTGAGATTTTGCAGTGCAATTAGCTGCTCTGGCACCTTCCCTTTCTTTCTCTCTATGTTATTGTTGTTGATATTGTTGTTTATATAAATACAAGTTAGAGGGAGAAAAAAACCAAACAAATCACATTCAAATCCTAGACTACATTTGTCTTTGCTCTATCTTTTGGCCTTGTTATTTTATCTCTTTGTGGATGAATCAAATTTGCCAGTTGGCTTTGTGTGGGGGAGAGAGAGAGAGAGAGAGAGAGAGGAAACAGTAGCATTTGGTAATTGTTGTGATAAGGAAAATGGTGTCACTTTTTATGTACAATTTTAGCAATAAACAGCTTGTTTGTACTTTTTAAATAAACATAGAGAGTCCATGATAAATCTTGCCATTTACTTCTTCTTTCTTTTTCTTCTTTCTTTTGCTTCTTTCTTTTTATTCTCCCTTTCTCACCCCCTATACCTATTTGCCTATAACTTCCTTCCTACCCACCACTCTATGAGGTTGAAGAAATAATTAAGCAAATTAAATACTAACCACTTTCTTAAATATAATTTTTCCTTGTTTTTTACCCTGTTTTGGTGTCCAAGACTCCTCCATGCTTCAATTTATTAGCATGACAAACCAAAATTGGGAGATAGTATCCTGAAAAAGATGAGTAAGAGACTGAAAGAACTTGTCCTGAAATGGTCCTTGATAGGGAATCTAGAAAAGAGAGGAAATCCCATAACAAATGAGATTGAATTAAACAATTTCCTGCTGACCCCATGTTGGTTTGGAAGTCTCTTAAATCAGTCAACAGTCTTCTTTATATAAACATATCCTCAACTCTTTTTTGTTCTTGACCACATTTCTTTTGGAGACCTTAGTCTTCAAAGACGTCTACATTGAGTTAGACACATAGATGCTTCACAATAATTCTTCATGACTTTAAAAATAAAAAATATAAATAAAAAAAAACCTAAAATTGAATATATGCTAAATTTGCTTGGCGACAAAACCCTTTTTTCTATGTATAATGGAGCTGAAAATAATGTCAGACCACAACAGAAAATCAATTATATGTCACTACCTGTACTGAATCTTCCATTTCCCACCCTGGCATAAACCTCAGTTGAGATCATCATTTTGTGAATGTCTGTTTCTTCTGCTGTAAAAATTGCCTTCTGCTATATATTTTCACATGGGAAATGTGAGTTTTGAATTAAACACAATATGTGGGATTCTACATGAAGAAAAAAAAACAAAGATAAGGGTTGGCAAATTTGGAAAATTGAGACCCCTTCGATCATGGGAAATTAAAGCCAGTGGCAATCAATGATTATGATTTGTGACACTTTAGAAGGATCACGGGGGCTGATTTGTGTATCTTTGTCTCACTAACACCAGTGGCAAAATTCTGTAACTTTGATGAGCACATGCCTCTTTTTATTGCTTGTGGACCTCAGCTAGTTTCTCATCCACAATTTATGTACCACAACTCAAATGTATACACACACCAAGTGGACTTTTGGCGTTTTTGCTCTGTTGTATAGGGTCCAATTCCTTTTCCTCCTCAAAAAATTTCCATGTACTCATGCTAGGTGAACAAGATTGATGAGACAGTAACTTTGATTTTCTTCTTGCCAACTAGACTCGATTAGATTAACCCATGTTTGTCAACGGGTTCATAGTTAAGTGTTAAGAGCATTTATCTGCATATTAGTGGTCTCATGTTCGAACCCTAATGGCATCTCCCCTTCTCCTTCCAATTTTCAAACTTTGACAAGAGAAAAAGAAAAAGAAGATTACCATGTTTACTTTTGTTGGCTCATTGAGCGCCATGCAAATAGTAAGGTATGGGCTCTGTTTCCCTGCAAGCTTGAGCTTGCCAATTAACATGGTCCCCTACAATGGATGAAAAGGTCAAACAATGCCAGTTGCCAGTTGCTAGCTATAGGCCACTCTGTGATTTTATAAATATCGGGCAACCGGCCTATACATATATATATATATATATATATATCTCTTTCTCACAATTCAAACACTTCCAGAAACTCTTCTTCTTCCCCCTAAAAAGAAAACTTCACTTTCTTTCACTTTCATGGCCTAAAAACACATCACAAGTCTGCATCATAAAAATGAAAGTCAAATCCCCCTCCCTCTTGAGTTTTGTCTTCTCAAGAAAAACTGAGAATGGTAACAAAACCGCCCATCCCTTCTCCGCCCTTTTTGACCAAAACCAATTAGATATATGGGTTCCACTAATTTAATTTGGCTTCACTAATGATTATGAATGTTCTCCTTTTAATTGCTGGTTCACATTTGCAAACGTGTGCAGCTTGTGACCAAAATTATAGGCCACATCTCACGTATCCACATGAGCTCTGAGCAGTTTATGCGAATAATTTCAAGAAAACAAAAACCATGTTTGAGGGACCATGAACTTGTCTTTGGGCACCAGTGGGGACAGAGGACACAACTGATTGCAAGTTCCAAACAAACCCCTTGGGCCTTTGCGTGTCATCAAAACAAAACCATCTCATCTTACTGGTATATGTATGTATATATTTTATACAAGTGATATTGGAGAACGAGAAAATAACATAAGATCTTGAATGCATGAATAAATACTTTTAACTACTTCAACTACAAATTCCTTGCATGTATTCACTATATATTTGTATGTATGGAAAACCTACTCAGACGGTTTTGATCTGCTGACAAAACCCCTTTTCTTAATTTTTTATCTCTGCATGCTGTGAGCCATTTGCTCTGCTTTGTGTTTTTTCTGCTTCGTATCAGAGATTTGGTTTGTCATTCGTTTGATTAGCCACGTGCTCTAAAAACTGTCACCCAAATTGCACAATCATGTGTTATGTGGATAACAGCTAGACACCGATCCAAGTTTTAGCCTTGTGCTTTTACCCGAGTGGTTGGTACTTTTCGTGAAACAAAGGTTAAAAAATTTCTTCTTCCTCAATGACTAAAATTCACGATTGGGTGTCTTAAGTTATTCAACCACAAATCCAATAATTCGTTGAATGATTTAGTTTTGGATAAGAACTTAGCATACCATTTTGTTCCTAGTGTCAAGTGCTTTTATGAAAGATATGAATATCATATGAGAAAACTAGACCTCGATTTAGTTTTGATAAAGATTCAACTTTTGAACTAATATGAAAAGTATACGTACATTAAGTCCGCCCCTTATATCAAAGTTCGAAAATCCTCTTTATAAATTAAATTTATTTAAAGTAATTTAGATTTTCGCCTCTACTTAAAAAACCAATAAAAAGCCAAAAACACCAATAAAAAGCCAAAAACACCAACACAAAAAGGCCTAGAAATGACCCACCCATCGACCTGACATTAATTGTCCCTCAAGTATCGATCCTGATAACCTTTGCAACTTGCCAAGTCCTGCCACCTGAGACAGACCAGCTCAGCAAGATTGCATGTCAAATTCTCAATTGCATAAGCTCCTGCTACAACCAAGACATGAAAAAACTAGTGACTGCAAGGCAGAGTTCTGCTTAGTTGAATTAATAGTATCAAAACTGCTTAACAAACTAAATAATTAAGTTTTAAATTTGATTACAAAACTAAGCAGATGTTCCAGTGCTTTTCCACTTTGCTTTTGTTTCAAGCAGTGGTTTTGGAGATTCAAAGGGCTGGGAAAAACTTGTCCAATCTGCACGGCAGTGCGTAGAATTCATCATTTCTAACATCAGAACGGTATAAGTTGAACTTCTCCCACCAGTTTAAACCGCTGTCTTTTCTCGATGCATCGTTTTCACGAGACAGAGAGTTATCCAAGATTACAGCAACCAAAGCAGCTACTGTTGTGTGTGACATGAAGATGACATTTACTATGTCCTCAAACTGAAAGTAATTGAACGAAAAAAGTTAAGGCCAATTGTGGAGCTTGTAGCTAAGACTAAAATAAAATTTATGGACACTTGGTTAAAAAATCTCACCCATCTTGGACCACCGTGATCATGGCCAGACCTATATTCTCTGAAGTATTGTGGTACTGAAACTCCCATGAAGAAAGAGAATCCCAATATAAATTTTGTTCTGAAGCTGTTCAGGTTACAAAATTGGAGAAAACCAAGGCCTGCAGAAGCTGCAAGGGACATCGTATAAGACCACTGTTAATTATAAAGCATTAGAAACATGTTTCTTGTTTTTGTTGCTTGACAGTAAAAAAAAATTCCAATCAAATTTTAGAGAGACGTACCAACATAGCCAAATAAGACACAGTAAAGAGCTGCTATGATTGGTATAGGAATCGAAGCGAAAAGTGCTCCGATTTTTCCTGGTCAAGAACACCATGAGAAACCATTTAGAGTATATATCAAGTGTTAAATTAATGTGCAAATGTATTGAAAAGTTTGCAGCATACCAAATACGGAGAAGAAAATCATGAAAAAGGCTGATATTTGGATAACTCTACGACTTCCTACTCTTGTCAATGCCAATAGGCCAGCATTTTCCCTATGCAGCATATTTGAAGTGAGCAATTAGAAGATCAAATCAGCATTTTACACATGTATAAATACATAGTCTGCAAGGTATATTTTATTGATTTTTTTTTTTCCCACAAACAGACAGAGACATTAGGTCTGAGTTCATTACACTGACGCAGTAGTGCCAGTTGGAGAACCAAACATCCCATTTAGTAACACTCCTACACCCTGAAATTCAAAATAATAAAGATGAAGAAAGAAAAGTCAAAATTTGACGATGGAGCAAAAATGCCAATAGAATCAACAAGAGTCACAATTCTGACGGAAAAATGCACTTACCAGCCAGCCAACGCCGCGGCTAATGACAGAAGGTGGTACGGGTGTGGCACTCCCATATCTTGCTGTAGCATAAAATGTACCAGAGGACTGCAAATATTGACAGATTTTGATTGCATTTTACTAAACATTATATAGAAAATAAGCTGCAATTGCATGCCAAATTCAATGTTGTTATCAAATTCTTTGTAAAATTGTAAGCTTTTCTAAGAAACTTGGGAGAAAAGAGATGTGAACCTCGAAGAGAGAAACAAAAGAAGCAGCAATCATTGCAAAAGCTTCTCCTGCATTAAAAGTAGGGCTCCCCCATTGAAAAGGATATGGAATATATATCCTGCATATTCAAGACAAAACAAGAGGACAAAAAGATACACTGTTTTCAAAGTACTCATGAAACGAAAGGAATTACATGTTGATAATTTCAGTTTGCACACAAAAGCTCACCAGGGAGCTGCACTAATAAGGCCAGAACGATCGGTGCGGCAACTGATCTGAGTGTTTTCTGGTGTGTTGTTATACACACCACTTGAGGTTAGAATTTGTGCAAACAACCATACAATTGCAACAGAGAACAACACTGAAAATCTGCCACAGATTTGCCTCTTTGTATGTATAAAACGAGAAAGATACTGCAAAACATTCAAGTATCTAGAATATTACTTGGTGCCGCGAAAAAACACTCAAGGAAAAAGGACTGTTAAAATCAATAGTAACCAATTGAGGACTTGCCTGTGAGACGAAAACCACGATGATCAACTCTGGAAGCCCAAGTTCAACACATCTGGCCAACTAGAAAGAGAAAAGAATTTGGAGGGGGAAAAAACAGAGTTGGATACTGATAAGACTTCAAAACAAATCAACATTAAATAGGAGCCAATTAAGAATGGAGGATCAAGAGATCTTTACCAAAGGGAAACCAAGCTGAGAGAGCCCAAGTCCAGCAAAAGTTATGAATGGGACAACAGAAAGAGGGCTAAGAAACCTAAACCAGTACATAAAGTAACTTGGGTCACAATTCACAAAGTATCAGACATCTCTAGCACTAATTTGAGAAGTTTATAAATGACTTGCATCCATCCAAAAGTCCAACTCTTCTGATCAAAATGACTAACCTGACAGCAATTCTCCACAAGCCTAGGAAACCCATAATCATCTGAAAACTGGCAGTGATGATTAGAGCGCCTTGTATACCTCGCATGGTCTCCGAAAATTTCTGTAAGAAGATTCATTCAAAAGATCAAATCAAGGAAGAGAGATAGGATATTAATATTTCAACAAAAGAAAAAATTAAGTTAGAGGCCTAACCTCATGAGGATCTGTGGTTGCCTTGTATCTACTGGCTAGGATTATTGAAGTTGTGGGGATTACATATGTATATGAACCCACCACCACTGAGGGAAGCCGGGTTCCGAACAGAGATTGCATGAATGTGTTCAACCCTGAAACAAAGAGCATGGTTTGCACCACCCTAGCCTTCTCAATCTGTAGAGAGAAAAGACTGAACTAATTAATAAATCTAATTAATGGAAATATCAACAAAGCAGAACCCAAAAAAAAAAAGAGAGATGTGAAAAATTAGCAATTAAATCCTTACATCGCCTCCACCCATTTGAGGAACAAGCAGACTTGGAATGAAGATTGTAATACCAAGAGTCAAAAGGTAATGCTGGAAACCCAACATCACAGCTTCAGCTGCAAAACCATGAAAGTTTTAAAATTTAAAGAACTTGCCTATTGAAATAAAACAAAATTTTAAAATTAAAAAAACCTAGTTAAGATTATGATTAAGAGTACAATAATCAGAGAGAATGGTATACTAACGCCATGGAGGAGGACTGTTAACACAATACTGAACACCAGGCAGCTGCTCTTTTACTGGGTATGGCTGCAACTCCTCTGCTTTCTTGTTTCCACCACCATTACTGTTATTGTTACCGCCACTGCCGCCTCCGCCGCCACGGCCACCACCATTACTGTTGTTATTGTTACCGCCGCCACGGCCAACACCATTACTGTCGTTATTGTTCCCACCGCCACGGCTGCCGTCATTACTGTCATTGTCGTTACCACCACCACCACCACGGCCACCACCATTATTGTTATTGTTGTTGCCGCCTCCACGCCCACCGCCATTATTGTTATTGTTGTTACCGCCTCCACGTCCACCACCGTTATTGTTGTTATTGCTATTGTTACCGCCACCGCCACCACCATTGCTGCTATTATTGTTACCGCCACCGCCGCCGGATTGAGCCATGTTCTTGCTAGCTCAGGGACGTTTATAGAGGAAGGTGGAGAATCAAAGAGAGGTTAGAGTGCTAGGGAGAGAGAGAAATGACAAACTTTTTATTGCGCGGCAAATAACTTCTTGTAAGGGGACCGTTACGAATTTTAATTAACCAATCAATTTGAAGATATGTATTCTATATGATATTAATCAATTTCAATAAATTAGTAATTAGTATTGGTTAGACAAAGTTTCAAATTCAGATTTTGTTTATAGGCTTAATGATTTTGAAACTAAAAATGATCTATTCCAACGGGAAAATGAATCAAATAGCTTGATTTCATTGAGATGATACTGAGTAGCTATAAGATTAATTTTCATTGAATGCTAATTATGGTCCCCTTCTTACATAATTCGAAAACAATTCCTGCTTTAATCATCATGAAGCAGTAATTATAGAATCATTGAATATCATAACAATAACAGGTGAATAAAGTCGGTTTTTATTTTTGAAAAAATATGCAAATAATTTTCACAGTGGGAGAAAACGACCAGCAATGACGACAAGTCGGGCAACAAGCAATCGATCAGTCCAACATGGGTTTAGAACGAGACATGCAGAATGATGAAAGTCATGAAATATTCTACACATATTTTGATAACAGAGCATCAGCATCCTTTATACATCAAGTTTCAATGTCCAAATCACGATTAGGTGCATCAAGCACATCAAGTAAAAATATCCGAATTTTGATCAGATTCATGATCAAACGGTATTTTCCAGTGCATCTTTACAAGTCAACATCAACTATAAACACTTCGGTTCGTGTTTGCTTTGCCACCATCGTCCTGGATTATTCCTGCTCATCCCTCCGGCAAATTTCAGTGACCTGGCATTCGAAGACGTTCCAGTTTGACCTGCAGAGCAATCAGGGAAAAAGAATTTTATTGATGCGAATGACAACATAGCAGTTTCCAACCTTACAACTTGAAGGTGCAGGTGGATGCATCAGATAAAGAGAGTTGATTGCGGTACCCCTTGAGATACTCGTGGTTTACCAAGTATGCTCTCTTCACATACTTTTCTATACATTTCATTTATTTGGAACTTCTGACCAAAAGAGAGAAAAAGAGATGAATGATTTTTGGTAAATTCCTTCTTTTGATATGTATATATATTGTTCTGACAAGTATTACTATTTTAAATTCATTCAACCCGACAGGAAATATTTGTACCTCATTCTCAAAGCTGAAATGATACCAAAGCAATGTGCAGTTTTGGAAAAGTATGTTCATAAAGAGGAAATGGTCGCATACCATGAGTTGTTGACCGCTAAACTCCTCATGGTTCATCGGATAAACCCTATTGGAACAGGAAAATACTCCAACTAACAACGGATTCCTTCATCTATTGTTAACACGAAAATTATCAATCGTAGAGGTATCTTACATTTCCAACAACTTATAGCTTCTATCTGTCAAAAGTGCTGGTTGCCAATAATTTTAACTTTTTAAATCCTAGTTTAATCTTCTTTGTTCATAAATTCCTCTAATCACCAATCGCAGCTGCTGGCATACAACTCAACTCATATTTCTGACTTTCAGTACCATACCTCCTAGACTAGACCTCCACAAAATATTTCCCTATCCTAGTCTCTGAAAAATATTTTGGCAACATGCATCATCAACTTATTTATATACTCCTCCTTCAAAGCGACCTTGTCCTTGCTTAGATGGAGCCAAGAAAAAACCTAGAGTCTCCCCAAAATCCTTTCATCCAGCATTTTGCATAAACATTTCTAATCTGCAATTTAACCTTCACTCATCCAAGACAACAAATGGAAAAGAGATTTTAAATCAAGCTATGATGTAACAACATAACCATAAACATTTCCATGTCCTATGCCTATACTTCCCCTCTGGTGAGTTACAAGTATACCTGCTAAACCTGATACTGCCCTTCAAAATCATATGTGCACCACTAAGACTATCAATATCTACCATTCCTAATGATAGCCCACATCCATTGACACAAAAACTACCTTTCCCCTCAGGCATTGTTATTTAAAAATGCTCTAATTCATAAATGGGGAGCTACATTATGATTTATGAGCATATCCAAACCTTTTTGCAAATTGATATGAAGAAAACTGCATCACAATTCACAGTTAACACACTTATTATTCAAAGACATGAAAGAAAACTGCATCACAATTCACAGTTAACACACTTATTATTCAAAGACATGTTACTTCATTGCTCTATATTATCTATCCAAAATCTGATGTTAAATTGCTCATTTAATAAGATAAAACTGTAACATCCATAGCTAGCAAGTAAACATACTACTAATTGCATTGCTTAAACAAAGAGATTCTCACCAGAAATAACATCATTGCGCTCCAAGCTTTGTTGAACTCCACCACCATTGTCATCAGCAACTTCTCCTTTCTTAACCCAAACCCTCCCAGCATAACCTCTCTGTTTCTGCATATCACAGCGACCAGGCCTCTCATGATAAGCCCTAACTCCATTACCACGGCGATCAATTATTCTTGGTCTCTTCAACTCATCATCCCCTTTTCCAGTCTCACCATTCAACGATAAATCCCTCAATTTCGGCACAATCTCCGCAGTCGGAAGCACATTCTCGCTCTTTGCCCTAATTTCGATTTCAGGTCTCTTTTCTTCCTTCCCTGTCGCCTGATCGTCTCCCTTCTCGCAACTCGCTTGAGGCGCGTCTACTATACATTCCTTCTCGGTCACTTCCTCCTCCTCTGCCCTAACATTCTTCTTTTTCTTCTGCGACTTTTTCTTCTTCGACTTGTTCTTCTTCTTACATAACTTCTTCTCCTCTGGTTCCTCGTTTTTCTTCCCCTCCAGCTCAGCACCCTCGCGCTCCGAAACACTCCGATTAACCGGCCCAAACTGTATCCGATCATTGCGATTCCTAGGCTCGAAATCGGCTTCGGTTTTCTGTACGACGGGTTGCTTTTTCCCCTCCAGCTCAGCACCCTCGCGCTCCGAAACACTCCGATTAACCGACCCGCGCTCCGAAACACTCCGATTAACCGGCCCAAACTGTATCCGATCATTGCGATTCCTAGGCTCGAAATCGGCTTCGGTTTTCTGTACGACGGGTTGCTTTTTCCCCTCCAGCTCAGCACCCTCGCACTCCGAAACACTCCGATTAACCGGCCCAAAACTGTGTCCGATCACTGCGATTCCTAGGCTTGAAATCGGCTTCGGTTTTCTGTACGACGGGTTGCTTTTTCCCATCCAGCTCAGCACCGTCGCACTCCGAAACACTCAAATTAACCGGCCCAAAATGTGTCCGATCACTGCGATTCCTGGGCTTGAAATGGGCTTCGGTTTTCTGTACGACGGGTTGCTTTTTCCCCTCCAGCTCAGCACCCTTGCACTTCGAAAAACTCCTCCGATTCACCGGCCGAAACTGTGTCTGATTACTGCGATCCGTAGGTCTGGAATCGGTTCGGGTTTTCAGAACGACGGCGTTTTGCTTCTGTTGCTTTGCCTGCTCTTCTTGGAGCTTTTGCTGTCGGAGCTCCTCTTCTTCTTGTTCCTTCTCCTTTCGTTGTCGTTCCTCCTCATCTCGTTGTCGTTCCTTCTCTTTGAGCCAGCGCTCTTTGAGCTCGAGAATGGTGACGTAGTTGGTGGGTAAAGACGAGGGCTTCTTGTTGGTGAGCTCCATTTGAACACTCACAAAAGCAGATTTTTCGCTCCACAGTCCACTTGAGATTTCAATGAGGAAATATCAAAGACAAAACAAAGCCTCTTTTCCTTTTTCTTTTTTTTTCTTTAATAAAATAAATAAATAATAAAACTTGAGGAAGAAGCTAGAGAACTCAAATTATTGGCATCTCAACAAAATTTAGTTACGCAAATGGAAACACAAAAATGCTAAATCTTATAGATAGTATTCTCGCAAAATAATTATTAAAAATTCATTTCGATGGTTAATGGCAATGCAATGGCCGGATTTGCTTTTGGTAATATAAATGGTATTCTTTTAATTACATGATGTATCATGTGAGGTATTATTACTTATGATTTATAGAATGAAGAAGTGATACTTAATCATGCACTTCATGGAGACATCGTTTACATCTTTTCAATCTTAAGATTGAAGGAGAATTGTAAACTATGCATCTATTAAAGTGCATGTTTAAGTGTCATAGATTCTTACTAAAGCTCAAGAAAGATTCTCTTGTTGTGTTTTGTTTAGATTAAAATTTGATTTCTATGGTCTAAGAATCCATATAAGATCCTCTTTTGTAATTTCTTTATAAATTTAAGAAGAAAAAAAATAGAGAAGAGAAGTGAGGTACTCACGTCTAATTCACTTTTTTTTTTTTAAATATATAAAATTATTACTATTTTATAAACTTTATTACTTAATTGGGCATTGGATTGGATTCCTCGTCAGCCGTCTAGTAGTGGATTACTAGACTAATCATTACTGATTAACTATGTATCTTTGATGAGTTATTTACATTTTTCTAAAAACTTTTAGGTCATATCAATAATGAGGACCAATAAATGACATGAGTCGTACAAAACAAAACAACGTCGTAATTTGTTGTGATTTTGTGAATTTTTTGATGAATCATTGATTTTTTTTTTTTTTTTTTTTTTTTTTTTTTTTTTTTTCCTTTCCTAATTATATTCATTTACTACCTATGATCTAGTGTCTTTTTTTTTCACCAATTAGAATTACCAAAAAAGATCCTACAAGAATCCCAATGAGATTTAAAAAAAAACAGACAACAGAAAGTTAGTAATCCCAATAAGATTTAAATCTTGCAACCTAATAATATTATTATTTTTGTATATTAAAAAAAAACCCACTATATATTTTGTGTTGAATTAAGTGGGGTCTTACTATTGGGCTATGATCATGAAGATTGATTGCAAAAAATGAAAAAAAAAGGCCCATGAATTGAAAACCCAACCTAACCAACCCATACGACCCAATGGCCTACGTCAAGCTTGGCATCCGGTCTTTGCGCGACGTTTCCCACGCAACCATACTCAGTGACTTGGCAGGCACCAAAAGCACCGCAAAAGCGCGCTAATAGCAAAAGGACGCTTTTGTCAAAAGCACAGAGAGAGAGAGAGAGAGAGAGAGAGAGAGAGAGAGAGAGAGAGAGAGAGCAAGGTCCTCGTTTGATCAACAGCCTCAATCGTGCGCCACGTGTAACCCCTCCCCAATCCTCTCTCTCTTCCTGTACGTTTTAAACTCCCAATGACTCATCCTCCAATCAGATTCTATCTCATTCGGTTGCATGCAAATGAGAGGCATCGAGTTGACACGTAACAACACTGCCAAATATAACCGACCCAGAAAGGAGAGGCAGTTTCGTAATTTCCGGAGTAAAACAAAAAACCACCCAAACCAATCGTGATAGGTGTACCCACGCATGGCGGCCAAACCCACACGCGTTATAATGAGAGGGTGTTTGGTTACAAGGGAAGGCATGCAAGCCAGGCGTCTGATTGGTGTGGTTGAGAGTCCCAGCTACGCCCAGCCCTTGGGTTCAGTGGTTTATGTGAAAAGTTACAGTGGACCTGTCCTACCAACAGTGTTAATTCCCACAAGTAACTTCTTCTGAGCTCTCACAAACACGTACCCACCGTACAATTCCAAGTGGCACTCTCTTCTTTCTCGTTGCTTCATGTTGCCCTTCTCTCATTGGTCACTTGTCACTCTTAAAAACACCCGTTACAAGATCAATCCCTCTTCAAAAACCACTGCAAGTCCTCATCCTCCTTCCCCATCTCCTCTCTCACTTCCTTCTTCACAGCTCTCCTCTGCCTGCCTTCTGCATTTCTATCTCAAAAGCTCTCTTTTGGGTCTCCAGTGATCACCATTACAGAATAGCTGGTGGGGATTAGACTTTTGCTGTCAAGAAAAGCACCTACCACCATGATCAAGACACTCAATCCTTACAACACCAACACAGAGAAAACTGCTGAGATTATGTCCAGGTATAGGCCCATAGCACCTAAACCTGAGACCCCAGCGAACTCGGCAGGTGAGAATCCATCCTTATCTCAGAAGATCAGAGAGTCTCCTTACCTTAGAAACCTCTGGCCACAATTGCAGGCCAGACCCACCAGGACTAGAAAGAGAGGTCGATCTGCTCTGTCACCAACAACCTTCAAGAGGCAGAGGACCCATCATGTGTTTGGGTTTTCTACCCCTTGTCATGTAACATCTCCGGCTAAAAATCTCACCTTGGATGGTTTTGCTCATGCTCTTTCACAGCTTCCCATACCAACAAGCTTTGATGCAGTCAAAAGCAACAGTTTGATGACTCTGCCTCTTCTTCAATACCCTCCTCCTCCTTCTCCTCCTCCTCCTCCTCCTCCTCCATTATCAGTTCCTGTTGTGACCAACCAAGCAATGGTGCCAGCTGAGTTTGAGTTAATTAAACCTTGTGAAGGAGAAGAGAAGCTGATAGATTTGAACACTGTGGCTGAAATTCCAGAAGAAAAAGATCTGCTGCAGCAACTACAAGGAAGTGCCCCTACCCCTACACCAATCAATGTCATAGCACCTCAGCCAGTTCGACCTGTGGGCTCCAGCATAAGTGTTGGGTGCATCAAAACAGACCCAAGCCTAGCCCCAGCAGAGCAAGCTCCTAAGAAACCAGAGGATGTTGAGGACGAGGTGGAGTCTGAGGCCCTGCCAGCAATCATATCAGATTCACACAACAAGGTGAGGATGGCAAACTCTGCTTACAAGGAGATGGTGGGCCAGCCAGAGTGTTCATGGCTCGATTCTATGGTGGCCAGTGATGGGCGTTTCGGAGGGAGCTCTTGCAAGAGGATCAGTGGGGAGGTCATACTTGAGCTTTCTGAGTCAGGGGTACCAGTTTCATCAAATGGGTTTTCATGCTGGGTGAGGATTGAGTGGGGAAATGAGATGAACAAGCACGCAATCAATGCTTTCTGTGATGTGATCAAGCTGTCCTGTGAGACTAAGGACTACCTCTTTAGTTGGAGGTTCCACACTCAAAGCAAAGAGGGTTCTCAGACCAGTTCTTCTAATGCTTGAAATGTCAAATAATGTAATTAAAATGTAGTGTAGCTAGCTCACTAGAAAGTGCACCTTCAGTGTCTACTATATATATTTTTTTTCATGTATATGCATATATAAGGAGTCTGAGGCTGAGTATATGTATAGTTTGGTCAGCCTTTTTAAGAGAGAGAAACTTGTTCTGTTGTTCATCATCACAATTATTTTCAGTTCAACAACATTACATAACTAACGGGAGGGATGATATGAAATCAAGATTGATGAAGAAACTAAGCATAGGTACTCATAGGCCTCCATAAGAGGAATGTCATATGCGCGCAGTATCCGCTGCACTCTTTTCACTCTTTGCAGGGCCCTTCCACTTGAAGTTCTCTGCATATGACTTAACCTACGCATGATCAAAAGCTTAAATTAATACATACTCCAGACAAACACCATGCATAACTTGAAGTTGTCCCTGTTCCTAATATATCTGACAATGATTCAATCTTGTTCCTAATCTATCTGACAATGATTCAATCTTCAATCTATTTTTGTTTAAACCCCATTTCTCTTTATTCACCCCATATTCTAAGTTCACCATCATACGGTTACACATTTGATAACTTACATATCAATTTAGCTGTCAACATTTCTCTCTCAAAACCAACTAGTTTATTCTCAATTTTTTTTAAAAAATAATACGGTTACACAGTTGACAACAATGTTTTGCGCTGCAAGACAACGGGGTGTGGGGTGTGAGGTTGATGAATTTTATTTTTTTTATTTTTTTTCTGCTGAGTGTGTATTTAGAGGTAGTTTGAGAAAATAATAGGGTATTCTTAGAAATTGTGAAAATTGAATTAGAAGTTAACAGCTAAATTGATATGTAAGTTACCATCATTAAACATGAAGAATGGTGGGATGTGTACAGATGTACTAGGGTTAAGTATTAAGTTAGATGATCTTTTTTGTCTTTTTACACAATTATAAAACTTAAGTGCTTAATAATTTAAGTATTAGGGTGAAGAAAGAAAATTGTGGGGTTTAAATAGAAAAACTCAAAGAAAATTCCCAAACCTTTAAAAGTGGTGTGTGGCGCTTCTTGACCTGCACAACAGTTCGGTGTGTCAAGAGTGTGCAATATTGAAGAATTTTACTTCAATTTGACAAGTACAAATAGAAACTTATCAGCAAAATTTTGAGGAGGAACACACCGTATAGTCCCAACCATGTCTCTCAGCGAAGTCCTTTGCAGCTTCTTCACTTTCAAAAGTCAGTCCTGCCTCACCGACATTGGCATAGGGATCACCTGTGGAAGTCCAACCCATCAATGGGTTTTCCCACCTACACAAAATGCCAATGAAGCCATTCAACAGTAAATTGAATTCCAGATCAATAAATATTGCTTGTTAAAATTGTAAAAGGAAACAGAGCACAACTAATTGCAACATAGTAAATGACCAAATGTTAACTATATGAGATTGAACAAGCTGGGTTATGCCCCAACGCTACAGATATATATAATAATTATATAAAATCTGTGGAATTAACAATATTTATAGCCTAATTATGCATGCATAAGGTGCTCAATCCAATAACATACGCACTTCTGTGTAGAAAGAAAATTAATTTTCCATTTCCCGACTTTCCCAGAACCTTGTTGGGTTGCAGTTCGAGCAGGTGAATAGATTATAACCTGAGCACGCCCAAATCCAAATAACTCAAAATTAACTTCCTCTAAAAATAAATTTTCGCATGAAAATAAAAGTTTGAATTTTTTTCAAGTGATTGAAGAGCGTACCCTTCGTCGTAGATGTTCCTCAGGGATTCCAGAGATGATGCCGACGTCATTGGTTCTGGTCTCCACCAACGCCTCCGATTGTGAAGAGAGCCATCTTGGCCGCGATAGCATTTGAGCTCGAGCGAGGTTCAAGCCCTGTCGTAGAGATCTCGCCATTTTTGCACAGCAAAGCTTCAAGGTTCCTCAGGCAGAAGCACAACAATGTTTCTGTGACGAAGCCCAATCGCCTAACCACGACTGGTTGATGTACCATGGGAATTACCAGAAGGTTCCCGAGAGTTGGCCCTTTTGCGCCATAATCATGCCACGTAATCACTGCACAACACTCCCTTATTTTTTTGTCTTATTTTTCAAAATTTAATTTTGTTTAGAATGTTGGGAAATTTAACTTTTAATCACCAAATAAGGCGAGGATTTGATTTGATTTTCTTCAATTCCATCTGAACATTGAAATTACGTTTTTTTTAATAATAATTTTAAATAATGAATCTTACTTTTTTTATATAGTTCATTGGTACTGTTGGAGGTAAAAACTAGACAGTAGTAATTAGACCAACTTAAAAATGAGAATGAGGATGATGTAGGTGAGGACCCTCGGTATGTGAGAGCATTCGGTAAGTACATAGGCATGCATACAGAAGATAAATGTACGTGATTCACCCGAATAATGGGCTACGTTCACGGAGAAGTATGTTCTCATTATGATAAAGACTGTATACATTGCACATAAGGTTAGACCCAAGGAGAGGAGGAAGAATGTCGGAGGCTGATGGCCGAAGGCTGAAGGCTGAAGATCTGGTTGAAGGCAAATGATCCGTGAGCTTGTAAATGAGCTTAGGAGTAAGCCCATGAGGCCCTTATGAGCCATATGGTGCCCTAGTAGCCTGTCTAACTCTTTCTTTCTTGAAGGATATGAGTCTCCTTTTATAAGTGAGGGAGAGTCCCCTCTTCTTATGTTTTGTCGATGTGGGACTCCATTTCCTTTGCTTGGATTGGCTTGGGAGTGCTTGGCCATATATTGTACAAACAGGAGTCCCACAAGTTCTCGATTAAGGAGGTACTTCTTGATTGGGGACTTGTAGTCATCAATGCACTGGCCAAGCAATGCTTCAGCTTCTTCTTCGCTTTCTCTTGTATGCAGCATCGGTGCAAAGTTGTTAAGTCAGTACCCGCTGATCACCAAAGGTAATGGTACTGAGTGCTGAGTAGCAATTATTGAAGGGTATGGAGATTGAGTCGCATGACAACTATTGGAGGCATGCACTATCGTAGGTGCTAAAGGTGTTGCTGCAATAATGGGTGTCGTTCAGCAGTTGGCATAGGTGCCGGAAGCTCCATGTGCCGTTCGGCAGGTAGTTTTGAGAATATGTGTTTTTTCTTCATGGGGTGCCGTTCAGCAGGTAGCCTTGGCGCAGAAATGAAGAGATATTTCATGGGAGGTGCCGTTCAGCATGTGGCTTTGAGAAGATGCGTTGGAGAAATGTCACCCGTGGGGTGCCGTTCGGCAACGCAAGAGCTGGAAAATGCCGTTGGAGCTTTAGGAGCTGTCGTAAGCTTGCTGCCGTAAGCCTGGGAGCTAATGTCATTAGTTAGGAGTTGCTGCTGTAAGCTTTGGAAGCTGATGTCGAAAACTTGGGAGCTACCGACGTAAGCTTTGGAAGCTGATGCCGAAAGCTTGGGAGCTGATGCTGTTTATTCTTCATGAGGTGCCAGTAGGTAGCCTTGGCGCCGTAAGTGAAAAGTGTCGTTCGGCATGGCCTTGAGAAGAGGCGCTGGAGAAGTGTCACCCGTGGGGTGCCGCCGTTCGGCAACGCAAGAGCTGGAAGATGCCGTTGGAGCTTTAGAAGCTGTCGTAAGCTTGCTGCTGTAAGCTTGGGAGCTGATGCCGTAAGCTTCGAAAGCTGATGTCGAAAGCTTGGGAGCTGCCGCCGTAAGCTTTGGAAGCTGATGCCGAAAGCTTAGGAGCTGATGCCGTAAGTTAGGAGCTGCCGTGTTAAGCTTTGGAACTGCTGTATTGAAGCTGCCATTCGGCATGGCCTTGAGAAGAGGCGCCAAAAAAAGTGTTACCCGTGGGGTGTCGTTCGGCAATGCAAGTGTTTGCGAACTGATGCCGTAAAGTTGATGCTGGAGTTGCAGCCGTAAGTTTTAGAAGTTGCTGCCGTAAGCTTGGGAAGCTTAGGAGGCCTACTGCCGTAAACTTTGGGCCGAAGGCAAACGCCGAATCATTGGGGGATGTGAAGACATCACATGCGCCAAATGATGGAAGGGTGCCAAAAACAGATGCCGAATCATTGGGGGAATATGAAGACATCACACGTCGAATGACGTAAGGGTGCCGAAGGCAGATGCCGAATCATTAGGGGATGTAAAGACATTGCACGCTGAATGACGTAAGGGTGCCGAAGGCAGATGCCGAATCATTGGGGGATGTGAAAACATCACACGCCGAATAACGTAAGGGTGCCGAAGGCAAATGCCGAATCATTGGGGGGATGTAAAAACTTTGCACGCGCCGAATGATGCAAAGGTGCCGACGGCAGATGCCGAATCATTGGGGGATGTGAAAACATCACACGCCGAATGACGTAAGGGTGCCGAAGGCAGATGCCAAATCATTGGGGGGATATGAAGACATCGCACTCGCCGAATGATGCAAAGGTGCCGACGACAGATGTCGAAGCATTGGGGGATGTGAAAACATCACACGCCGAATGACGTAAGGGTGCCGAAGGCAAATGCCGAATCATTAAGGGGATGTGAAGACATCGCAGGCGCCGAATGATGCAAAGGTGCCAACGGCAGATGCCGAATCATTGGGGGATGTGAAAACATCGCACGCCGAATGATGTAAGGGTGCCGAAGGCAGATGCCGAATCATTGGGGGGATGTGAAGACATCGCACGCGCCGAATGATGCAAAAGTGCCGACGGTAGATTGTAGGAAGTGCCGAGGGCAGCGCTCACAAGGGTGCCGAGGGTACTGAATGTAAGAGTGCTGAGGGGCACTTGTTGTAAGGTGCCAAAGGCAATCGAGAAGGAGAATGACATAGCCTTTCGTGTCGCTTCCCACATACGGCGCCAATCTGTTGGAGGTAAAAACTAGACAGTAGTAATTAGTCCAATTTAAAGATGAGGATGAGGATGATGTAGGTGAGGACCTTCGGTATGTGGGAGCATTCGATAAGTACATAGGCATGCATACAGAAGACAAATGTACGTGGTTCACCTGAATAATGGGCTACGTCCACGGAGAAGTATGTTCTCATTATGATAAAGACTGTATACATTGCACATAGGGTTAGACCCAAGGAGAGGAGGAAGAATGCCGGAGGCTGATGGCCGAAGGCTGAGGATCTGGCTGAAGGCAAATGATCCGTGGGCTTGTAAATGGGCTTAGGAGTAAGCCCATGAGGCCCTTATGAGCCATATGGTGCCCTAGTAGCCTGTCTAACTCTCTCTTTCTTGAAGGAGATGAGTCTTCTTTTATAAGTGAGGGAGAGTCCCCTCTTCTTATGTTTTGTCGATGTGGGACTCTCTTTCCTTTGCTTGGATTGGCTTGGGAGTGCTTGGGCAGATATTGTACAAACAGGTACATTGCAATGTTTTTTTTTTTTTTTTTTTTGTGGTAATTTTAAGTGTTGGTTTCACTTTTTGCGAAATTTAGCATTAAACTCTAAATTGTCACACATGATCATCAAACACTAATGCATTATTTTAATGAACTTTATGGCATGTTTATTTATATGAATGAGTATTGGAATATGATTCTAATATATGGGTATGGAAATTATTTTAATTCATGACTTTCATGTCCGTTTATTAATATATAAGGAATAAAAAAATTATATGAGTTTCACATTAAAATTCATATTAAAATATTTTCAAAATCGTGAATGGGATCAATTACATAACCAATTGATCCAATTTCAATTTCTTGATTCCTTTATATAAAATTCGTTGATTCATAATTTTCTTCATTCATAGTAAGTAAAGTAGATGTGAACGTTGTAGGTGTTTGCAACATTGTTTTTCTTGTTGGAATATTTAAAAGTAGAGATGCTTTTGCTATCTAATTATGAGTTGTCATGTGACAGATTATGTATCCTATTCTAATTATGAATCAAAAAATAAACATGTGCAATACATCAAACATAAACAAACGAAGTTCTAGTAAATGAGTTGTCATCTAGAATTTTAAAATTTATTTTCATGTATGTGAACATTATTAATCTTTTTATATACCCAAAAAACCATCATCAATCAACTGAAGCCCAAATGGCATCATTGGGAATTGACTTCCAGGCAAACGTGAACCGGGCTTGACACTTTCACCATTGGACTGATTCATTGGGGGGCGGGCAATACCGGCTGAGCGCATTTCCTAATTTCAAATTTCCCATTTGTTTCTTTCAACAAACAAATGCCATTTGTTCTTAGTTTGCATCGATAGCAGCCTCCCTGATGTTACGTCCTTGTCTTCTTCTGCCCCCAAAACACGCCGTCCCTCTTGTTAACGCATCACATTCATATAGCTCCATAACATCACAGCTTCTCACAGGCAGCAATTGAAGCTCAGAAGAATTAATGGGGTCCAATTACAAAGCAGCTTCAAGGCTCTCTGATCTCGAGCTAACACGTTCAGACCTGAAAACCTTACTGAAAGCAACGGCCAAGATGGAAGAAAGCCTCCGAAAGATGGACAACAAGTTTGAGGTCATAGACGAGACTTTGTTGACATCTTCAAGAAGAGTGGCTCCTTTACAGTCGTTAGCCATGGCCACCAAAGCCTTGGAGACTAGAATTAACAGAGCTGTAACTCCAGCTCTTGCTCTTCTCGACAACTTCAAGCTCTCTGAGTCAATCCAGCACAAGCTGCTCGAGCTCTCGGAGAAAATGTCAACCGAGAAATCAATGAGCAAAAGGCTCAAGAAACTTGTGAAATATGTGGATTGTGTTGATCAGCTTAAGGTTTCAATTGATTGTATTTGTCAGGAGGGAGAGCCGGTGATCCAGAGGCTTCAGGAGGTGGTGGAGTTCTTGAGCCGGACGAAGGCGACTGATCAATACAGGACGCATAGGTTGAGAGAGACTCTGGTCACTCTTAAGGCTCTGTATGAAACAGAGGTGGATGCTATGAGATTTGAAGGGTTGCTTGATGAGGCTCTGCTGAATTTGCAGGATGAGTATGAGAGCATTTTGGAGCAGATAAGGCATCGAAATGTGGTGGAGTTGCAGGCTGCTGATAAAGATGATGGGGGTGATGAGATGGTGATCATGGGTTCTGATTTGGGGACTGAGTTGGAGGTTGAACTTCTTAGAAGGATTTCACAAACCCTAGCTGCCGATGATTGCTTGGACATATGCATCGATATTTATGTTAAGGTAAATTCGGCATGGTTGCATCCTCCTTAGTTTTGAGTAACATTAAAAGCGTCACATTTTTAGATCATATTAGCCAATCACATTATGTGATAAATTTGCTTAACTTGTGACATCATTTGCATGAATGTATGATTCACATATAATCAACATTAATTAAGCTGAATGTTGCGTGAATGTATGATCTACTAAAAGAACATTAATCCGTGTAGCAATAGAGGCCCTTTGAAGTTTAAAATTTAATAGTTATAATTTTTGGTGTTCAACAGGTGAGATACAAAAGAGTTGCCAAAGCACTAATGAGGCTAAACCCAGAGTACTTAAAAAGTCACACTACAGAAGAAATAGATGAAATGCCATGGGAGAGCTTAGAGACAGCCATAACCCTTTGGATCCAACACTTTGAACTTGCAGTCAAAGCAGTGCTTGTATCAGAGAAGAAGCTCTGTGAACAAGTACTAGGCGGCATAATGGAGGGTTTGATCTGGCCAGAATGCTTCGCGAAAATCGCAGACAAAATCATGGCGGTGTTCTTCAGGTTCGGAGAAGGCGTAGCCAGGAGCAGCAAAGAGCCCCAGAAGCTGTTCAAGCTCCTGGACATGTTCGACTCCTTGGAGAAGCTCAAGCCTGGATTCTCTGAGGTGTTCGACGGCGAATCGGGAGCCGACATCTGCATAAGATTCAGGGAACTTGAGAAGCTTCTCATTCATGCTTCAAGTAAAGTGTTTTGGGAATTTGGGCTTCAAATTGAAGGCAGTTCAGATGGATTGCCGCCACCTCCAGATGGATCAGTGCCTAAAATAGTAAGGTACGCTGTGAACTACTTGAAATACTTAGCAACAGAGAATTACAGTGTCGCCATGGCCAAGGTTTTAAGAACAGAGCAAATTTGGAAAGCAGGGATTTTGTCCAAACCGGAAACTGATGAGAATCTGCTCAGAGACGCCATTTGCAACATCATGGAAGCTTTACAGAGGAATGTGGAGGCAAAACGTTCGGGTTACAATAACAACAGCAGTGAAAAATTGGGTATTTCAATCCCTCTTCCTCATGTGTTTGCCATGAACACTTACTGGTACATTTACATGAGGACCAGAAAGACAGAGCTCGGGAAGCTCTTGGGGGACCAGTACTTGAAAAAGAACTACAAAGTGGTGGCCGAGGAATCTGCTTACATGTACCAGAAGCAGGCGTGGGTCCCACTGGTGAGGATCTTGGAGCAGGATGATCTGGAGAAACAGAGCAAAGAGGCGAGGGTGGGGCTGGTGAGGTTGAAAATTGAGGCGTTCATGAAGGGCTTGGACGACATTTCTAAGAGGCACAAGGGGTTTTGTGTTATTCCGGAGGTTGACTTGAGGCAGCAGATTAGATCGGCTACCGTGAAGCTTGTGATTCCGGCTTACACTGAGTTCTTGAACTCGTTCTCGGCCGCGTTGCAGGGGAAGTCGTATTTGAGTCCCGAGTCGGTTCAGGAGGTGCTGGGTCAAGTTTTTGACGATGGGGATGGGAAGCTTAAGCGCCGTGGTTCTAGGGATCGGACGGGCGGTGGGAGTTCGGGGATGGACGGTAGGATCAAGGAATTTCGACGGTCTAGATCGAATACCAGTGACTCGTGAGAGCTTCGATGCCGTTGAATTGAACTACTTTTTTCTGTATGAGTTTGATGGTAGTGCATATAAATGCAAGCATGTGTGTATTGAAAGAATTCTTAATAGTTATTAATAGTGATTCTTCGCGTCATACAGTTACAAATCCATTTATCTTCACTATACCAAATTTCTTGGTAAAATTACAGAACTTTAAAATAAAAAAATTATATGCATTAGGTTTAAATTATGTTGACGCAGAAAAATGGTTCTGCACTTTTCCGTGCAACTTAGTGATGTTGGGTCTTCGGTATGCTATGGGCTTTGGTAGAGCGCGTGATCTGCAAGATAACAAACGCTCGGTAAGACCTAGGGCACCGGTGTGGTATCGGCCGAAGGCTCTCGATGCTTGAGTAAATACGGATTTAGTAAAGTTAAACTATATATCAATAAGCAGTATGCCGTCAGTTCTGATTACCTCCATTTTGGGATAGTTGTCCTCTTTTATAGACCTTGGAAGGTGTGCATTTTGTTTGGAATTTCGATGTGGGATTGTGGACACCAATTGTGGGACTGCCATGTGTCCCAGAGGGGGATGTTGCCTTAATCATGGGATCAGTAAGCTGGATGCGGAAGTGAGGTGCCGAAGGCTACCATAGCTCTAGTTTTGCCCACGTGTCCGACTCTCATTGCCTGTTCATTTTGGTATAAACAAATTATATCGAGGGAATGTGTATCATATATTTGATGGGTATCAAAGGAATGTGTATCATAATTTCCAAGCTCAATGTTTATGGAGCTATTAACAACACAACAGGCTTGCGTAGTATAAGTGTAGTTGTTCAAAATGATTATGGAGTTTTTATGGGTATTCTAGTTATGCAAAGCCCTTGCGGGATTTCCATTGTAGCTAAAGAATTGCAAACAATTTATATAGGAATTTTAATTATTGCAGATGCTGATTTTTTCCATCTCCTCATGGAAATTGACTCTTCTGAGGCTATTATGATGATTAATTTATGGGAGACTATGTGGGCTAATGTTAGCAACATTGTGGATGATGTGAGAGACTTGCTCATGCAGTTTTCTTTAAAGGAAGTCAAATTTCAACCTAGGGAATGTAATTGAGTAGCTCGTATTATTGCATGTATTGCTTTACACGAACAATGTCCTTATTATTGATTAGAAGAAGAACCTATGTGACTAATGAATTGTATTATTGATGACCTTATTGTAACCAATGCTTCTGGTTAATAAAATCTACTTATTTTTTGAGAAAAAAATTATGGGTATGAATAAGAAAATAAATGTACATGCCTATTTATAAATAAGTTATTCAAAATTCCATTTTATGATAGAAAAAACACCCAAAGCCCCATTTTATAGAAATATAAAAACAAGAAGAGGTTTTTTTAACACGCACTATGAAGTTGTTATGAGAGTTTGAATATGAGATCATTGGTCTAGACCACATTGACATTATTGCAATATATATATATATATATATTAAAGGGAAGAGAGATTTCACGCACACAACTAAGATGCTATAGTGATTTGATTTCGAGACTTTTTGTCTGCAAGTCAAGGCCCTTTTAACTGGGTTAGACCCTATGACTTATTGCACTGAATATTAACAGTGCGTTTGGATGAGGAAATTTAAAAGTACAAAGGATTTCATAAATGACGGAAATTAATGTTCTACAATTTGTAAAGTTTCTTGTTTGGGTAACTGATTTAAAACACAGAATTTAACCTTTAATTGTAAAGTTATTTTTTTTACAAACTCAATCTCTTTTGGGACCTTAGAAATGACAACTTTTAGATAGAATTTAAACTTGGGATTTATTATTTCCAAATTCCATGTTTTTTTCCAAGCATAATTTCTAAATTTATATGTTTTTTTTTATTATCAAAACACCGGAATTAGTTCATGTCAATTTAGAAATTCTGAGTTTTGTCAAAATCCCAAGTTTATTTCCCTCATCTAAACGCACCATAAGAGTTGATAAATAAGTGTATTTTCACTAAAATGAACAATTGTCGGGGGAATATAGGGAAATAAAATAGGGGGGGAATATTTTTCTTAGATGAAAAAACAGAGTTGCCAAATAAAAGAATGAAGTACCATATATTTGTGGGTTAGCAGATTTGTTGGCCTTAGCTAAGCCCAATTTTACCAACAAAGGAAACAAAAAATACCGTATCTATGTAATAATCTGCTAAATTACAATTGTACCCCCACAAACCCTGTAAATGTACTGGTCGAGGAATGATTCCAAATTCAACCCAAAACGTTGAAGAATGATTCCCTATGGTCGAAGAATCTCCCAAATTCAATTCAACACAACACTTCTCTTTCCCTTGTCCAACACCACCACAACAACTACCCGTATTTCCCACCAATTTTTTTCCCCAGAAAATTCCCAAATTTACCTGGAAAATCAAGCCGAATACCAAACCAAAAATGTCGACGATCAAAGACACAAGTCTCACAATTGATGAATTGGGTTGTTCCGTTTCTTTCGCCGATTTCCCCGAGGACGTCCAGCTCTGCGTTCTCTCCTTCCTCACGCCTCCCGAGATCGCCAGCTTCGCCTGCACATCGAAACGGTTCGTTTCGCTTTGCAAAAACGATGGCAAGCTTTGGTTCTCTATGTGCGACCGCAGGTGGGGCTCCAAGACCCAGATCAAGAAATGGGGAAATGGAAAAATCACCTACAGAATTCTCTACCAGACCCTCAGCGATTGGGAAAATCTGATTGGATTCTGGCGCCAAGGCGGCATCGCGACATCTCCACCGTTGATTTTCTTCGAGTGGGGCCCATCGTTCATGACCGGCTTCCGGGTCTCTCCAGCCAAGGACGGTACATACGGTGTCGTAAAGGCACCCTTTTTGTGGATGAGTCTCTCGCCGGAGGGCCAAGTTGTGAACTTTCTCGACCCGGAAGGCCGGACCGAGATTTCGGAAGATTTCGCTAATTCCAAGCGGTTCAAGTTCGCGGAGAGTGATTTAGTTCCGGTCAATTTGAGCTTAATGGGGAAGACCCATTTTGTTGTGGAGGAAGATATGAGCTTTGGTGCTCGGAGAAGTTCCAGCTCAGTTAGTGGACGCGGAGACGATGGTGGGGTCGGTGAGGATTTGATTGGAGCCGAGACTAGTGGGTCCCCAGGGACATCACCGGACCAGTTTGTGGTGGAGATTTATCAGTACTTTGCGAACCGGACCAGCCCAGGTGGAGATAGAGCTTCGAGGAGGCAGAGGAGGAGAGAGAAGGAAAAGCAGGCCAGGAGGAAGTTGGAGCCTCAGCATTTCGTCAAGATTGTTGATTGCTCACCTACACCAACTCGGCCTTTACAGGGCCTATGGAAGGTGCCTTTTTTTACTTTATGCTTGTATGTTTCAGCTGAAAGTTGGAAAATCAGTTGTTTTATGCTTTAAGATTGTTGTTGCAGTTTCTATGCCTAATTACAGAGGTACAGATATTGACATCTTCTCCTGATTGTGCTTATTGTGAAGTGCTTGTCGGACAAACTATGCCATTCAGTGTTGGTGGACTACGTTTTATTTAGTTTGTATTTTGGAATTTAGAACTGGCTCCTGAATTTGCTTCCAATCTTATAAGACTATTCTCTCCAAGAATTTCCATTGGTTGTATTTCTGAGTGTTTTGCTTCGGTAAGGTTAGTACTGGATGGTTAATCAGGTTGGTCTTCGTGTTTGTTAGATTATACAAAAAAATCCACATCAATTTGTTATGTAGGAGAATTAGGAACAGAGATCTGTCTACATGAATCCCTTATTTTAGAAGTGCTTGAATATTGAGGTCGGTGCTTATGCTTCATTGATTTGTACCAAGTAGAACTCCCAAACTAGTTGGTATAAGTTAGTACAGAAAACATGGGACTGCTTAGAAGTCAGATTGCTGTCTTAGGATAGTTGGATCAATCTACCTTGGGCATCCAAACTTTGTGTAAGGGGCAGCTCTAGTGTTAACTGATTGGTTTTGCTCCTTTCACTCTTGCTTGCTGTAATGTGTCATTAGAAGATGGTGTGGATTCGCAAGAGATTTCAATTGTGGCTTAATTGACCCCCTCTTCTTCTTCCAACTGCAGGGAATTTATGATGACATGACCTTGGGTTTTTACCTTGTTGCATATGATGACATTGGGGGCATTTCCTGCCAAAAGGTTTGCGACTCGTCTGGAAATTTTTGCAGCTTCGCACGTGTTATCAGGAAACACCCAGTCTTTTGGACAATGGACACTACCTTTATTGAGTCTCCATTTTCCCCAGAGGAAGAAAATTTGTATACTAGTCGGATACATCTTCAACCAGCTGCAGCAGCAGATCACATTCACCAGCATCTTCCTCTCACAGGAAACAAAGGAGTCTCTCGCATTCTTTGCATAAACTTCAGTCATGATCTGGCTATTCCATACTTGGCAGGAACTACCACAAACCCACCGCATGCTCAGGGGCGGATTTGGCAGTATTGGGATGGAACGTTTGGGTTTGGATTTCTTCAAGATAGTTTTATCAGAGACCTGAAGCATGTTGCCAAGAATGGTTGTCTTCTTGACACCGCGGAGCATTTGTTGTGACTAATGTACTACTTTGGGGATTTTTTTTCTTTTTTATTTTTGTACAGACACCCTTTGCTTGGTGCCACTTAATGCTGTGGCACGGTGTACTATAACTTCCATTGCAAAACCAATGGTCGAATTTCTGAAAATTTTCTTCTGTGGAATCATCTAATAAAATGTTCAATTACCTGTTGGCTCATAACTAAATCTCTTTACCATTTTTATTACTTTTAATTTAAGACCACTCAGCTTGAATAAGAACTGTTCTTTTGGTGTTAGAGAGCTTGCATAGTAAGATAGAGAGAACAATGGGACTTCTCAACATTTATTCAAAGCCAACAAGAACACAATAAGAGGAGAGAAAAAAAAGCCTCATTTGGGTCTTTAGGAAAGGGGCTAGTTGAAAATAGGTTTCGGCATCTCATTGTAGCATTCACAACCTCACAGCAAAACTAAAAAACAGCAAATGAATGAACCCACACACTTCAATTATACATAGGACTCCATCTGTATCAGGGACAGCAACACCACATAAAGAAGGGATGCTAAGGGGAAAAAAAGTTATCCATTCTGTGTATCATATCTCGGCAGCAACTTCTCTGGCACTGGCATTCTCATCGACGGTGTTCTTCTCATAGTCACCCTCAAGCTGGCTTAAGTTTCCTTTCTCCTTGATGAGTTGGGTGTGGTGGTGTTTGCAGTAGAGTCGTCCCTCGTGCGCAATATAGTTTGATGGGCTGATCGTACATCCTCCATGTGAGCATTTGAAACACATCTTGTGGTAAGGAGTTCCATTCACAGTAACCTATTGATCAATGTCAAAATATTAAGTGTTAGGTTTCTTTGTTGATAACAGCATGTGGAGAAATGATAATTTCAGAAGTTGGTCTTACCTTTTCTGTTGGATAAACAGTATTCTTGCAGCCAAAGCATTTATCTCTGGTTCCACCAAACATACTTGAAGCTTTGGCTACTGCAGGTTTCTGTTAAAACAGTTTATCATCAAGATGATGAGCAGATATTAAGGACTTGTATAATCCATATTAAAGCAATTAAATTTCTGGGGAATATATACCTCATTATCAACAGGTCTCTCTGGTTTTACAATTTTGGGTGTCCCTGAAAAGGAAAATGAAACAGAATTTGATCACCTTGAGCCCACTGAGAGAGAGAGAGATTTAATTAATTTGGTGAATTTTTAGTTTTACCTTCAAAACTTTTGTCAAGACTGCCGGTTCTTTTAAAGAGCTGATCAAAATGTGGCCTGCAGTACAGCACTCCCTCAAATGAATTGTAGTTGCTGAGCTGCAAAATGATCTTTTGGTCAATGGAGTTGTATATGAAACCAAAAATGTGGAAGCTGGAATTAACTTTTAATTTTAAAACATACTTCAAGAACATGTATGTTGTTGTGAGAGATGAATCATCATATGGGCAACAGCCAACAGAAGAAGATTAAATCATATCTCTATAAAGAATAATTCTTGGATAGAACAATGCCAGAATAACTATTAGATGATAAGGATGCCAATCTGGAAACTGATCTAGTTCTTTTCTTGGGTTTGAACTATACATATATATCAAGTTTTGGGGGTCTGATCTATGATTCTGTAATATCAAGATGCAGGTGAGATTTGATAAGCATAAGACTTCCAGTGTAACTGGACAAGAAACAATATCTACCTGGTCGTTGTCAATAGCTAAAAGGTTTTTTCTTTTAGTCCAAAGAAGAAAGGGTATCTACTCTAAACAAGAAAGAAAGTAGCTTGATCATACAGATGGGAATTCTGAAGAAATATAGTCTTATAGCATTATAGGACCAGAAAAATGGAAAAAAACTTCAAGCAATATGAGATCCATTTTGCTTCTTCAATTGAACAATCTGTGCCCAAAATTTTGCCAAAGAGAGATTTTAAGTCTTAAGTTAGTGAAACAATGTAAGATATATGACTACCTTGAGGGTTCCCTTGCAGTGGTGGCATCGAAAGCAGGCTTTGTGGTAGATACGGTTATCAGCTGTTAGCTTATCAACCAGATACACAGTCTTGTCACAAGCCATGCACTTCTGGGTTGTTCCTGCAAATGCCATGACTTCTTCCTGTTCACACTATTCTCTCCTTCTTCTCTCTCTCTCTCTCCCTTTCTCTCTCTCCCCCAAAGAAAACTGAAGGAGATAAGAAAAATGAATAAGAGAGATCAAAATATGTGGGTTGCAGGGGATTGCAGAGACCAAAAGCACAACTGTGGATGAATATGATTAAAGTTAGCTGCAATTAGCAATCATGTTGTCCCATTTCCAAGCGCCCACCTACCACTCTCTGTCTGTTAGATATTTTTGCTCTTAATTAGCTTCCCCTGTCCTCCAAATGAAAACAAAGGCATACATTACATTTCATATAAACCATGCATTTGCTTTTTCTTTCTTTCTTTTTTCTTTTTTTCCTAATTGATTTCAGCATTATGAGATGGTAGCTGGAAATTCAAAAGGGATATAAACCAAATTTGCTGACTTCATTACAAAATTAATAGCTGGCCTGGCCAACATGGATGGCCCAATCTATTAGTTGATCAACTGGGGGTATTCAGAAAGTGACTATAAATAAAGTTCGTTTGCTTTAATTAAGTTTCAAGCTAAATTAGGAGTGGGACACTAATAACTGGGATACATGTTTGGATGGGTAGCACCCGAGAACCCTTTAAAAAAAAATTGAACTTGAAGCATCATATGACTTTAATTATCATAAGTTTGATGCTCCACGCCATCAAATGCCAGCACTTCATCAACCCATTGCCTAGCTGGCTTGCTTGCTTCAGTTCTCAAACATATCTTTGCTCCTCCATGATTACACTGTTTTACATCGAACACGAATTTACTCGATTGACGATCTAACAATATATCGATTATGGTGAATTGCCTAGCTTCTTTTGGCTAATTCACCTAAACATGTATGAGAAAAATCATGGGCAAAGTAACATTGCACGAGTCTGAAATGATGAGGCACCAGTCATTTAACCTAATTCTTTTACCTTCTTCCACCGCACTCTATCATGATGACAGCTCCGTTCCATGTTCCATGCTTCCATGGGTGCCCCACATTGACTTTTGCGTTGCCTTAATGTGAGCTATATTTTGCCAATATAGGCCCCTCCTCCATGTATTAGCAGCTCAACATTTAAATTATTTACATGCAAAGCCATAATAATCTGCAAAAGCTTTTGCTATGTATTAGGAGGACTCATCCCATCCCATGTGAATGAAAGTGAGGTGACATAAAGCGTCTCCAAAACTGTAATCACAGTCCTCCCCAATACACAACAATGGGCCCCGGGATAAGCTGAATGGACCAAGGTGGTCCATGGGCTTAATTAGAGATTCTTTCACACTAAAGTGCTATAAACCTACTTTTATGTAGATAGTTAACAAAGCGGGCATTTGGTCTAGTGGTATGATTCTCGCTTTGGGTGCGAGAGGTCCCGAGTTCGATTCTCGGAATGCCCCTTTTTATTTTATGTAAATTTGCTTTATATATAGAGATTAAGAGCCTGATATTGGATTTGAATCCAATTTTAAGCCTCCAAAACCGAATGTCTGTTTTTTCAGATTTTTCTTTTTACTAGTCTCTCATTGCACAAGCGAGGTTTTCAAATTGCATACTAAACAAGTTTTTGAATCTTAAAGCTTCTGTTTCTAAGAAAAATCAGAAAGTTTTGATTACCAAACGCACCCTACTTGTTCTGTACTTTTTTTGCCGCCTCAAGCTCCTACAGTTACCCGCCCCCAAATTTCAAGCCCTAGCCTCCTCAATCTGGAACCCACTCGACAACGTAAACGAAGAAGACGAAGTTTTGACAGATAAAAAAAAAACGAAGACGAAGTGAATATGGTTTTTGGGCAAGTGGTGATTGGTCCACCTGGGTCAGGGAAGACCACCTACTGCAATGGCATGTCTCAGTTTCTCCAACTCATTGGAAGGTAAATTTTCACCTCTGCTTCTGGTTTTTTTCTTTGGTAACAAAAGGGGCAAAGCCTAAACCAAAGAGACTACACAGAAAAAAATCTATGCCTCAAGAGGCCATTCTCTCTGCTTCTGGTTTTCAAGTTTTCCTTCCTATGGCGTCAATATTATTCATATGAATCTGTCTGGATCGTCTGCAATGACAACTTTATCATTTTGGGCATGCAGAAAAGTTGCTGTTATCAATTTGGATCCTGCTAATGATGCATTGCCGTATCCTACTCATTAGTTTACTTTTCATTCTTCATATTTTGCATTTTAGTAGTTTCCTTTCCTTGTAGTACGTCAAGCCTTTACTTAAATTTAGATATGAATGTGCTGTGAACATAGAGGATCTTATAAAACTAAGTGATGTGATGGTGGAGCACGGTCTTGGTCCAAATGGAGGTGAGTGTTTATATTTAGTATATCTAAATATCTATAAACACTTTTGGTTCATCACTTGGATGAAGTAAAATGTGCAAATGTTTGTTTTTCTTTTATTAGCAATGTTTGGATTGTAAATGAAAAATAAAATTGGATAGTTTACGGTCAGCTGTTATCAGATGGTTTGCGATAAGTTATTCCTGTTTATTTTTTTGCCAAGATCCTCTTAGAGTTATGATTAACTTTTTAATGGGTGCTTAAGAGTGTGCTTTTGTTAGACTCAACAAATGATGCTTTTTTTTTGTGTGTGGAAATATTATAGTCTTTTAGAAGTTTTTAATGGATTTTGTGAGCAACATACTTGTAAAGTATATGGCCCCTTCTGGTTCCGCAGCTTCTGAAGTTTCTTTTCTCATGTTCATCCAGGTCTTGTATATTGCATGGATTATCTGGAGAAGAATATTGACTGGTTAGAGGCGAAGTTGAAACCTCTTATAAAAGGTTTGTTTGTTTTGTCTTGCTTTACTTATTTAAATCAGTCTCTCGAAATTATGATCATGCTAATCCTTTTTTAGTTTGCCAGAGGTCATGATTATTCTTGACCATACTTTTACCCACCCGAAACTTTTGAGATGTCCAGTCCTGTCATGATGTTTGCTTGAGATACATCAATACTGCTTCTTCGACTTGTTACAACTGTCTTTTTTCATGTTGTTTATATTAAGAGAAGTTGTACAGTTCTCAGAGGGTGTGTGCATCTATTGACTGGTGTCTTCTGAAGGACTTAATATACATATGCTTGCATTGTTATTGCAAGAACCAGTTCAAATTGGAGCTAGTCTTATGGTAGTTTGGGATTATACTTGATGTTTGACCAATGATGCCCAAGTATAAATGATAACTGAAGCCTTCGGGAAACTGCAATAAGGATCATTTGAAAGCAATTAAGCAAGTATATATGTTTTTCCTCGTTTTTGCTTATCTAACTGCAGTCCTGTAGAGTTTTGCATCATAATAGTTTGTTTGCAAGGAATGGCATGTTAGTGTTCTTGTAGGTTGCCCCCTGAGCAGTGATGAAATAACAGTTGTATTTTGCTGCCTAACAATGTTATTAACTTTGCAGATCACTACTTTCTCTTTGATTTCCCCGGCCAAGTCGAACTATTCTTTCTTCACTCCAGCACCAAGAATGTTATCATGAAACTCGTAAAGAAGTTAAACCTCAGGGTATGTTATAATCTTCTTTTGCAATCTTTGTAGCTTGCCCCATTCACTAGGACCATGATAGTTGATGTGCCTTGTGCTTGTTATCTTGATGGCTTCCTGATTTGATGCAGTTGACTGCAGTTCATTTGGTTGATGCCCACCTTTGCAGTGACCCTGGGAAGTATGTTAGTGCATTGCTTCTCTCTTTATCAACCATGCTTCATATGGAACTCCCACACATAAATGTCTTGTCTAAGATTGATTTAATAGAGAGTTATGGAAAGCTAGGTATGGTTCTGGTTCTTTTTTTTTCTTCCTGTTCCTTTCTTATGCATAACATTTAAAATATCTGATACTAATGCCGGTGCTCCCTATCCTTGCTAATTTTTGCTATTTTCTTTTTGATGTCTGCAGCATTCAACCTTGATTTTTATACAGATGTAGAGAATCTATCTTATCTTCAATACAGTCTTGATCAGGATCCTCGCTCGGCTAAGTACAGGTGTGATTAACATTTGATCATGTGGAAAAGTTATGAAAAGCTTGCTTTAATATTAATAAAATGTTTCTTGTTTGTATTGCAGAAAGCTCACTAAGGAGATTTGTGATGTAGTAGAAGATTACAGTCTTGTCAATTTTGCAACTTTAGATATTCAGGCATGCCAATCCCTCTTCACTTTACTCCTGACGTCATGAACTTTTTATACTTCGTGTTTTAAGTCAGTTGCTACTTTACAGGATAAAGAGAGTGTGGGGAATCTAGTTAAACTGATAGACAAGAGCAATGGATACATTTTTGCTGGCATAGAAGCGAGCGCAGTAGAGTTCAGCAAGATTGCAGTTGGTCCTGTTGATTGGGATTATTACAGATATCCTTTTAATTTTGATTCTATAATAATATGTTTTCTCTTATTCCTTTATCTTGTCCACTTTTTGATGCATGCTTCAAGCTGTAGCATAATTTAGAATCAAATTTGTCCACTTTTTGTGGAAAATGTCCTACTAAACCACTAGTTTAAGTATCTGAAAGAATAATTCTGATCTACCATCACTTAGACTTGTTTGGCTGGGTATGAGTTAAACTAGTCAACCTAGTCACCGGGTTTCTACATTTACATCTAGGTGGACCAGAATGTGTATGAGATTCTCGTGTCCAGATAGATAGGTAATGCTGCATCTGATTTGAATTGAAAAAACTTGAGGTCCAGGAAGTTCTTATGATTAGTTGATGCATCTGAACTGTGTGGTTTTGTATTTCAAATTTTCTGTTGCATATAAACCAAAGAAATTGTTAGGTGTATTTCAATGAGTTTTGCTTAACAAAGTAGCTCACAGTTGCAGCGGTGCAAGAGAAGTACATGAAGGATGACGAAAATTTTGATGATGATGAACACTCTGGAGACTGACAGTCTTCATTTTGTGAGAAAATGATTCTGGTGAGCATTGTATTGTTCCCCCGTCCTGCCTCATGATTAACAGTCAGGCACCTCTCAAGGTGGCAGATGCTTTGTGTTGACGAAATTAGGCAACTCGCTCTTGCGTGGCTATTTTTGTATGATATATGTTTGTCTCTTAGTCATGCTGTGTTTATTCATGTGAAAATGCAACTTACATGGAGCTAATTAATTTACTAGAGATTGAGCAATATGATTACATTGGTTTTATAACAACAAAACTGTGGTTTTATGGGGGCTGGATTGAATTATGCACCGCCAATGATTATGTCGATGATCTGATTAAGAATTTTATAACTTCTACTCACTCTCTATCCGTACATAGTAGTGAGTTGATAACAAAGTTTCTTCACTTAGAAGTGTGCGTACACACACAGGAAATCTGCTTTGTTGAAGAAGATGCCTTTGAACTTCTAGATGTTATAGACTTCTGGAAAATAAATGTCTGCAGGTGAGAAATGTCGGGGCCCCGCGCCGAATTGGAAATGGTGGGAATGAGTTCTATTATTATTATTTTTTCCGTTTTTTTTTTCTCTCAAAACTTAAGTTTTATTAAGAACATTCGAATATATAATTTCTAAAAGAAGAAAGAGAAAAGATGACAACACAGTCATCGAGAGTAGAGCAACAAAGTATCCACCTTCGTCCTAAATATATGATTTCCATTATTTTTTAAAATTTGGGCGAATTTATTTTAATTTGATGATTAATCTTGTAATTTTCTTCTTAATTTATATTCGATCAAGCGCGTGGAAATGGTCTACCGTGTCGCTCACGGCTCAAGTTGACTTGTTCTAGTCGTCTAAGCATACCTGATCATCATGATGTGAACATCTAATTTTGATTTGTTTTAGATTTTTATATTCTGCAGCAGGCGAGTAAATACAAAGGAAATAAATAAAAATAAATCTTTCTTTCTTGCATGTGGAGCTATCAGCTATGAAATGAAATTAGATTCATGTGTGTTAAATAATAAATTCCACGAAATGAATGATTCAAATTCAAATATGTATATTCAAATCAATCATGGGCAGCAATACCATTGCAATCGAGTCATTTTGACATATTAAAAAGGTAAACAAAGACATAATGACATATTTAGCTGAGGATTAGCTTAATCCTATTCAAATGAAACGCAACGACTTGTCACTTGTCCATGGCTCTGGTTTTGGGTTTTCAACTATGAGATTAAGGCTGAGATTATTATCCTATTAACTAAACATTTCATTTTTCATTAATATATTGTATTTGAAAGATCTCATGGGTGACGGGTGATGCCATCCATCTATAAATATTGAGATCAAACCATGAATAAAATAACATGCGTATTGCACAAGTTTCGCTTCCTCAGACAAATTCTATTGATTATTGCACGGAGCAAGCAATGACGGAAGCATTGAGATGAATTGCTCATTTTCCCTCTTAAATAACTGCAATTATTGCTTCTACTCCTCTTCAATAACTGCAAATTAATCATTTACCACGTAAAAATCAACGACTTGTTAATACTTACGTAATTTAACATATTAAAACATTCAAACGGGAGAAGTTATGAATCGGGACAGTTATAAATAAAAGCAAGAAAGAATAGACTTAAGATCAAATACTCCCCTCTAATCAATTTAATTATGAGTTTTCATGTATTGAATTAAATGTTTATGTACTTATTTTGATTCGATAGGTGTTAATAAAAGCATGAGAAGTCATGAATCAAAAAAACTTTAATGTCATACTTACTTATCTGAAATGCGGATAGAATAAGGGATAAGCCACTTGTTTTTCCCATGCCAACCTAGCTAAAAGAAGATATGCTTATTTATTGTGTGAAATTTCCAAATAACACTTGCTTTTTCTTGACCAAAACAAAAACAAAAAAAACTTGTTTTTACCGTGCCAACTTCCATTCCAACTAATAACATGGTCCCAGTGGGGCAGTGGCCCTTCTAGATGACAAATATAAGCGCGTCGCTCAACATTTATTGATAAAAATAAAAAGTGAATATATTCTTATTAAAAAATTGGAGACCAAAATTCAATTCAATAATCCCCTTCTCCAAGCATAAAGACCAGGTAAAAACTCAAATTTTAAATATTTTATAGATATCCTTTGGTTTGCATTTGCAAAGAACAATCCGAACGTGTATACGTGTTTTTTTTTTTTTTTTTTTTTTTTTTTTTTTTCCTTCCTCCCAAGAAGTCAGTCAACCCACACCAAAATCCATGTGGACAGAAGAAGCTTCTATAGGATTTTGTTTTGTCAAACCTTGAATTGATTATGCTTTGTTTGGATCTGCCTTCTCTCACCACAGCAGCTCCTTTTAATATATATATATATATATATATAAATATGTGGCTCTCTTCTCTTCCAATCAACCAAATCACAAAAAACCCACAACACCAATCTCTCTCTCTCTCTCTCTCTCTCTCTCTCAAAAACTCAGTTGACTTCAAATGTTGAGCCCTTTCAGCTGTGGCTTTTTCCACCCAGAAGATGTTCACGATGAACCCATAAGTTCAAGTCCTTGTTCAACTCCAAGAAGATCGTCCAGAAGAAGCGGCAAGGACAGCAAAAACCCATACTCAAGCCGCGGCCTTGACAAGTTCTCTGCACTCTTAGCTGATCTTGAAGAGAAAAGGCAGAAGATTTATGCAGAAACGCCCCCACAGGACATATCGTTTGTCCGCTTTGTGTTCAAGGACTCAAACGACGACGTCCCCGTCCCGATCGTGATCAAAGTGAAGGACAAAAAGGAAGACCAAAACAACAACAAAATCAGCAAGCCTGATCAATATCAGGTACTAGTAAAAGCAAAGCATGCAACACCACTCGATAAATTTACCGTTGAGCCCTCAACACCCACCAAGGAAGTGTCCCAGGAGCAACCCAAGACTGATGATAAGAAGAGGAGGGTGTTTTGGTCATGGAGTTTCAGTGACATGAACTTGGGCTTGTGGAAAAGGCCGTCTTTTTATTTGCCAGTGGTTATGGTATTCATTTTGGTGCTGTTGGCTGTGTTCGGGAGATCTGTTGCCATACTATGCACCTCTATTGGTTGGTATGCATTGCCAACGTTGAAAGAGAGCAGCAGCAGAAGCAGCACAAGAAAAGCATCAAAGAAAAAAGACCACGTTAGAAGATTCAGTGACAACAATAATAAGACGGCAGCCGATCATCATGGCTTGTCTTCTCCAAAGGGTAGTAGCCCCACCGCCGGTACGCCCCGGTCGCAACAGCACGGTCACCGGAAAAGCTGGTGACCATGATCATGATGCGATTGGCTTGTGAATTTCTCCATATGTTAATTGGTTCTTTCTTTCTTTTTTCCATTTTTTTTTCGGGGTCAATATTTGACTGCTCTGTATGTACAAGCTCTGCTTTTTAATTGGTTGCTTGTGAGGGGGTTGGGTTGAAACTTAGAAATTCAACTCTCTGTTTGACATGTTTGTAAATGTAAATTATGAGTTATATAGATAGTAGCCCATGTCATGTTAGCTCTTTATGGCATAGAGGTTTTGTAAGATGTAATCAGTGAAAACTGCCTGGTAATTCCATGATTATGTGGTTAATTATGTCTTGATCTTCTAGTTTTATGCTGAATTATTTCCTGAAAAAAGCTAATTAAGGATTAGATTGTGGATTAAGCTATCGTCATGAGTATAATTGTGTGGCGTTGCTTATAATAGTTAAAAAAGACACAATGTTTCTAACCAATTCAAGGTCAGATAACCTTTTTTCTTTTGAATAAACATTAAGAGATGTACAACGATACACTTATAATGGGGTCAACAACACACCTACGATAAAGTTATGGTGTAACAATGAAAATTACCACAATTAAATATCAAACTCATCACAAAATATATCTTAATCGCGTCATAATGAAGCTGAGAGCTACAACAGAATATTTTATTGAATGCAATACCTTGAGAAATCTGGAGCTGCTTTGGCCTTGCTGTAATATACTTAACTAAATCCACTCCACGTTTCTCCTCATCTTTTTAAACAAACAATTTTCACGTTTCTCCTCTACCATGAGATGCTGCGTATCACAATGATTATTTAATGGTAATAACCATATGAAATTTTCTTGGGAATTTAAGAAGGAAATTCTTGCTCACAACAATTAAATTAATCAACCTTCAAGATCATATTGCTTCAAATATGAAAAAGGAACAAAAAAATTTGATTTTTTTTCAGATTTTGAACTATGGAAAGCAGATTACACATGTAGTGAACTATGAGGAAGCACTTTGGTGATTGGTTAGGGGGTTCACAATTCTTCCAAAATCATCAATTTTTAAGATCCACAACCAGCCATGGCCTGTTTACTTATTTTGTAAATTATGGGGAATACAACATGTACTTTCATCAAGAGCTGGACTGACCATCGTTTAAACAAGAAGAACGATTTTCACATTTCCAGTTTAGCATATGACATCGCTTCGGAGTGTGATTCAATTCGGAGCGATGAAAGCTAAATTGAGAGTGCCAACATCGCTACGCTTAAATAATAAAAAAAGGAAGAAATTTTTGCATCTTAAGAACTCATTAAAGGCATCTACTTTATTGAAGAGGATGAGTGACAGAAGGTAACCAAACGAAGACTTTAGAAGAGGAAAGTTATCACCACGGCACGACGTAAGGATCTCCGGTGGCGCTGTTAGACTGCATACAATCATGGGAGGTTGGTTTAACTAGAAAACAACATTAATTCTAAAATAATGGGATTCAGCCAAAGTATGAGGCTTCTCAAAGGTAAGAGTTGGCCAATGTAACACTCAGTAAGACATAAAAACAAACCTTCTTCTAGCAAGTGTGAATTGGTTTTTTGATGGAAGGTCAATTGATGTTACTAGTTTGAAAAAGTATGACCAACTATGCTCTCTCTGCAACTGTGATCTGCAATTCTTACACACCCAAAGGCCACTCCGCGTAACAAAAAAGATTGATT